TTGAAGCTAACAATCCTTTAAATTTTTGTAAAGATGGCCAATTGCAATAATATTTTGGAAGGCATTCTTTTCTTTCATCTCTATAAAACGGACAGACCAATACAAAGTGATATTTGTCTTCTACTACCTTCATATTACAATACACACATTTTCTATTACAACGTTCTATATTTCGAAATCTACCTTCCTCAATAGCTAATTTATGTGCTGAACAGCGTAATCTTGAGAGAGCAATACGATGATTATTATTAACAAACACAAGATAAATATTTTTCCTGACATATGTTTGTTTTAATTTTCTTATATGTACTTAGTTTAAGCATATTATCTAACATACTATAAAAAACTTGATAATATTGATCATATAATCTCTCAACAACTTTATCTATTTGAACTCTAGTGACAGACATATCATTCCATAAATAACTAAAACCTAGTTCATCAAGCAGATTTTTCACACCCGAAGCCCAAGATCCCAATGAATTAGTATTAACTTGATTGATGAAGCATTTATATATCAATGTATCTTGGGAGTTCAAAATTCTATACCAATATTTCAATATTCTCCCTTTACGAACCACATCTAATGGAACTTTACCCAGTTCACCAAGAACAGCTATATTTGTAGTTTGAGACCTTACACATAATAATTGTTTACAAAATTTAATATATACCCTCTCAATATCAAGGGCCTTATGGAATCCCCATATTTCGCATCCATAATTTAATATTGGTAAAATCATTGAATCAAATAGTTTAATCTTCTCGTTAACACCAAGTGGTACAACATCAAATAAGGAGTTCAATGTAAATATGGCACGAAGTGCTTGTTCTGATAAAGCTTTTTGAGCATTATAAAATTTACCATTTCCTGTCAAAACTACACCTAAATAACAAAATTTACTAACAACATTTAACCTTACATCATCATAATATAAATCAACTTGCTCAAACCTATTTCCTAATTTAAAAATCATAGCAACTGTTTTTGTAGTATTTACAGTGACATTCCACTTTAAACAATATGACTTTAATTTATTCAATAATATTTGCAAGCCATTTGACGAATATGAAAACAACACAGTATCATCTGCGAACATCAGCATAAATATTTGCAATTCTTCTAAAGTTATTGTATCAGCCCTATTATCAGCAATATACCTTTCCATGTCATTTATAAACAGTATAAAAAGCAAGGGAGACAATGTTTCGCCTTGCTTAACGCCCATATAACTATCAAAATAATCAGTAACATTACCTCGCACCCTTACACAAATTTTCACAGAGTTATACATAGACTTTAACATAGTAATAAATTTAGAAGAAAAATTATATTGCATTAGTTTATACCAAATACCATTCCTATATACCATATCAAAAGCTTTTTTAAAGTCTACAAATGCACAGTACAATTTTTTACGTTACTGGTGGATTATTTTATCAATTAATGTCTGCAATACAAAAATACAATCAATTGTGCTTCGTTTTTGTCTAAAACCAAATTGACAATCTGTTAATATGTTATTTTCTTCGGCAAATTTTCGGGCTCTATTATCTAACAAATATGAAAATATTTTTGAAAAGATGCTTGTTAACATTATTCCCCTATAATTGTCAACATTGCTAAGATCACCTTTCTTTGGAACAGGTACTAATATTCCCTTTGTCCATGATTCGGGATAAACACCCTTACTATATAAAAAGTTAAAAAGTTTACATAATATTGGTGCAAATTGGCAAATCAGCAATTAGCAAATAAGCAATTAAGTAGTTGGCAAATAAGCAAAGTGGCATGTCCCTACCGGCATTCCATAATCAAACATTCTTGTCAATGTATATCGAGTGCTTTCACTCGCGAATATATGTGACACAGTTTTGTCGTCTGCAAATTTTTTTGGAAGTGCCATTTATAACGTAATAGGCCTCTGTAATAGGCTGAAACGATGTATACATGTAGGCCTATATGCCTGGTTTGAGAATTTAACAGCAAAGCTACAAGTAAGGGTCCGAGAACATGCCCTCTAGAAAATTTTAAAAGCTAAAATGCAAATGGTTATCGTTATCTTGCCGTCCGTGGACAGGCTCCAGCAACATTTTCAATTTTGACGTTTTGGGAATTCATTTTGGGATTCAGTTTGTCTCTGTTTTATGCGATCGTCTTTGCTAAATGAAACTAGATCTAACATTGGTAAATTTATATGGCTACCTGTGCAAAATGAAAATTTAAGCTGATTCGCATACGATTTCTTTGTTTGAGATAACATCGAGTGATAACAGAAAAAAACTGGATAAAAATCAAAATAAGGGTCATATGTAGGGTCAGTAGATCTATCAAATTAAAAAATATATACATTAACTTTCAAACTCGCATATTTCGTAAAGTACTGATGACTTTTGTTCTAATTAAAATGTCATGAACTTTATATGCCACTTGGTCTTCAAATCCACTTTGAAGTTTATGTTGAAAAAAACAAATCTATAATAGTCAATGGTGAATTGTTTTTTTAAACATAAATTTTAATTTTGGTCTGCACTGGCCTGGTTTCTCGCATGGTACAATTTGCACTAGCAGTGTCAAGGCAGGATGAAACACGATTTGATTTTGTCAGATTCTTGTGCCCAGAAAGTGTCGGGACGGACTTTGGTACTTTGTTGCGGATTCTGACGTCCTTTTGATTTCATCTGTTTTCTTCTCTCTTTTTTTCATACGATACCGACATGTACTTACGACCAATCAGAAATTGATTGAATTAATAAAATTTACAACATGTCAGTGGTATGATCAACGCTACCTAGTTTAATCGCAAGTCAAATTTTACAGAAACAGTGGAGGAAAAAGACATTTCAGGCCAAAAGTGTCATCTTTAGTTAATTATTGGTTGGAAGACAAGTAAAATCGGGAAAATAATGTGCAAGCCCGGGCTTTTTTACGATACGGCAGCTACACGCCTGGTTAACAAAGCACCCGTAAACAAAAATCTTCACTTCTTGGAAACACATACTTGATATGATGGATTCGACATTTCTTCTCTGTGCGGGTATGGTACATGAAATTTTGTGTGTTAATTTATGTGTACACATTTTTGCAAAGGATGGATGCGACTGATTGTGATGCAATATACATGTACTGTCACAAATGATTAAATTATATGTCTAGTTTAAATCCTAAAAACCCCACAAAAAACAACAACAACAACAAACACATATAAACGTCTATTTTTTCTGAAGAAGACTAAACGTCGAAAGCTAAAGAAAAGCGTTTGTTTTCATTGAACCGATTATATATCGTTTAAATCCTAAAATTCTCTGCTTTAAGAATGTATGCCAGTAATTACAATCAGGCACACAATTATAATTGATCTTATGAGCGCGTGCATTTTCGTGTATAATTTTCAATTTGATCACAGCCCAAAACTGAAGTTTTAAAAGAAAAAGGTTTCAACAAAAAATCACCTGTGCTATATTTTTTAAATGTAAAAGTGGTGATTTTATATTCTAGAACATTTTTTTTTTTCATTTAAAACTTCAGCTTCCTGTGTTCTGATTTCACAGCCTGGGACACAAATAACAGTGAGACCAAAATAATAAACATGAAAGTCCTATCTGATCACTTACGTAACGTTTATGTTAATTACGTTGTAAACCCACGCAAAAAAAAAAAACACGCAGTGCTCATGGTTCACGTTGCGCGGTAGTTGCGTCGAGAGTATAAAGCTATTGCATGAAATTCACGTGGTTTGGAATCGACATATTTTTTAAGTATCATATCTGGTTAAAGAGAGCGAAAGAAGTAAAAGGTAGTGTAGTACTGAATGTTTCAAACGAACTAATTTGTAATTAAGGCAGTAAAACGTTGACTTCCATACAAAATGATTAACATTTTACCTCACCTAGCCGTGTTTTGACGGCTTTTTGTCCCCCCTCCTTTTGGGCCTCAAACAGTGAAAAATGCCCTATTTAGGCCCCAAACACTGTTTTTCGTTTGAGAAATGTTGTTAAAAAAGTGATCACTTTTTCGGCGCCGTCCCCATCAAAACGGTACATCAAGGGGTTGCCAGAAGGTGTGCCCCCTTCTGTTTGGGGGGGGGGGGGTTGAAGGGGTGCGGCAGTCCCCCTCATCGCCAAGAAAACGTTTGGACATGTGGCAGGCTAAAAATGGCCTCAGGTCGATCTTCAGGTAACGTGTAACCAACGCTGAAAAGCCTTTTACTCTATCTCAATCCATTGGGAAGTTTCAGCACTTTGAAATCAATTTTAATGGGGAAAAAAACATTGCATAATAGTGATTTTTGGCAATGGCCCACTGTTGCCATGGTAACAGGCATCTATGGTTCAGTCAACATTCGTGAAAAGTTTCATCAGTATTGAAGCATTTTTCATAGTTTCATAGCAGTTTGAACTCGTAACAGGAGGCTTTTCAATGAAAACGGCCATTTTTCACAATATACATAGCCAATGAAGTTTTGGAAACTGTAATAGGACACACACAAATAGTTTTGAAAAAAACCTAGACATTTTTTTATGTTCAATGGGCTTAAATTATGAAAGACTTGACATATTTGAAATTTTTAAAATTACAACATTCATTTTATGCATATGAATGACATTTCTTAATTATGACTCACTGATCACAGCAACTATATGGCCAAAAGAAGATAAATATCAGTGCCAACTCTTCCCATTCGTCTGCAAATAGTCTGTCAATGTCAGATCTTACGGTATGTTTTACATGAAGCTAACATTATATAGAAGCTGAATTTATCCGATTGTATTCAGTACCTTCCAAAGAACACTGTATAGAAACACATCTACTTCCTGTGACAGTGCTGAATTGTGTCAGCTTACAATATATGATACAATAAGTGGAATTAAACGGCGTTTGTACATGTAGTTGCAATAACCAGTACACATTGAATTTTATAGACTTGCAATTAATAAAACATACATTTCGTTTCTACACTGTGAAGAAGACGGGGTTAAAGAAGGACTAAAACACAATCCACTCTATCCTGACATCATTCTTGTTATTTTCAATGGAAATCCAAATTGAATGCATTTTTTTTGACAACTGAAAAGTGCATTATTTTTCTTCAACAATAAAAATTTAACATTATTACCTAGGATATTTTCAATAATTTCCAATGGGAGTAATATTATACACATCTCATGGGTTTTTTACAGTCATCACAATCAGTGTCCATGATATCCTTTTTAATCTTTTCTTGTGTGATTTATCAACTTTCACAATTAAGAATTTATATAAATCTATGCCGACTAGATTTTATCATACCCATAGGAGTTTCTGATCGTCTTCAATGTTGTTTTTTTCCACACATTTCTTACTTGATAATTTCTTGTTCCTTTAATGATTCAATGGCCATATTAAAACAAAATACATGGTGAGAAAGAGCAGAAAAGTCAATTGCTGGTATCCTTCAATAACTTGTAACTTCTTTTTATTAGCTTGTTGTAGTCCAAAGATACCCAAAGTAATAAAATAACAAACTACAATAATTGCAAATATGTCACACAGTGAACAGATATACATAATTCCTTCTCAAAAATGGAAAATTTATCAATTTATTAAATTTATTTTTCAAATCTGGATTGAAAACTCATATAAGTACAGTATGAAATTACAATAACAAGAGTTATTTAACTTATTTTCAAAAGAAATAAATATTTTAATAAGTTACTTTTATGAAAGAATTGCCTGAATTGCTTTGAAATACCGAACTACTATTTTGATATATATAACATAAAGTGTAACAACATCAAAAATATTTCCTCATATTAAATGAGTTGAATAATACATTATCTCCATTGAGTTCATAGCATCATTTTATTAAATAAAATTGTTCTTAATTCAAAAGTATTAAATGTATTTACTGTATCTTAACTATCTATAACATGGTCTCTACTTAAATTGCAATATTTAAAATTATAACTTTTTCATCATCAATACTACACAGTATTTCACCTAAATTGTTTTCAAACCATAACAAAATATTACAATGTTATTATAACAATATTTCAAATAAACATTTTTCTACATTCAAACCAAAACAAAAAGTCACAATAGCATCTCAATTTCTTTTTATCAGTACTGTTAATTTCTCTTTCTGACATTATGACATCAATATACCAACAGTTTCAGGCATATGACCCCTAAATCCGAACTTTTTGGACCCTAATTTACGGACGAGTGGTAACAACTCTTTTCACATTAAAACCACAAAACATCCCCAGTCATCACATCAGAATTTGTCAACAAGCTGTAAGATATGATTCTGTTCTTCCTCTCTTGTATCCGGATCTTTTGCGTCTCCTATGTTACCTGCATATTCTGAAAATATAAATATTGCAGTACGTTTTTATCATATGACATAAGACACGAATTGTAATATCTACAAGTCTCTGAAGAAATGTATTAAAGTTGATGGGTGGATGTGTGTGGTTTACCCTCTGTATCACCGCAGCGTGCCAGATACAATTCACAAAAGCACAGTTCAGCCACTGAACATTTCCTAGACAAGCAATAAAGCAGTACCAGTACTAAATGCTGTGACATTCCTAGAGAAGTGCAAGTTACTTTTGTGCATGCCAGGGCAGTGGTAGAGCGTGAATGACCATAATTAAGGATTTGAGCCGCGCCATGACAAAACCAACGTAATGCGTTTGCGACCAGCATAGACCAGACCAGCCTGCGCGTCCTTGCAGTCTGATCAGGATCCATGCTATCAGTTTCTTTTTTTGTAATTGAGTTTGTAAGCAAACTACATGGATCCTGATCAGACTGCGTGGACGCGCAGGCTGGTCTGGATCCATGCTGGTCGAAAACGCATTATGTTGGTTTTGTCATGGCACGGCTCATTTAATGATCCATCACAATGAAAGTGACCTTCACTGACCTGGAATCAACCTTGGGTGACCAGATTTAAAAACAGACTATCTACAATTGAGCTAATACGGTAGTATGTAATGATGTGTAAATTCCCAATCTGTAATGAATTTATTTATGTAAACCAATATATGAAAGAAATTACAGTAAAAAAATGTAGTATGAATATGAACCTCACATCAAAGTATATGCACACCAGTGCCATATTGTTTTTAGAGTCACAAAAACTGCATAGGTAACTGATATAGAGCCTAAAATAACAACCGATATTAATGTATTCATCATTATAATAACCACATATTGAAATACTGTATTGTATCAGGATTAATCTTGTAATTTTCTCTATTGTCACAACAGCTTACCTCTCATTATATTTCTTATTGATTTTACTGAACCGCCTCTCATATTTAAAATCTGTAATACCCGAGATTTTATCTGGAAAAAATAAACAAAACAAATATATATCTTAAATCTAAAACAAGAAAAGATAAGCCATGTATGGTAAAATCAGAATTTTAGTGAAAGTTTAAATTTTTCTTATTTTTTAAATTTCAGAATTTCACAAAATATATATACAAGATAAACTTTAACAGAACTGAAAGAAAAAATTCGCAAAGAATTAACCTTGCTAATAAATCTGAAATGTACAAATTTTTGTATGAAAAAAAGCAGTTTATCCTATTTACAGTTATATTGAAAAGATAAAATATAAAAGATGTTTACTGTGCAAATTTTATGTGTTGGGTTTTTAAGTCACATTAACACTATACAGGTCATATGTCAACAAAATTGCAACCAGTGCAGACCAAGATCATCCAATACTCCCAAGAACCATCCTATTTATTTAGCAAGATAGGATTAACTGCCAGGCCAGAACAACTAAACTTTTGGACAATTAAAAAGTACATGCAAGTAATTGAAACACAGATATTGTTCACATAGAAATACATACACTTGAAGGTCCTGTTACACATATTTCTAACATAATATAATCTATAAGCTGCAGTGTGAAAAGTCCGGCATCAAGTCGCCGTAAATAAAAGCTGTCCTCAAGGTCTTCATCCACATCTTGTCCCAGATATTTTAATCTCTAAAATAAACATGGTCTATGTTTAACATTACACTAGAATTAAATGTATCATAAACAAGAGCCTCCCTAGACAATACAATTGATAGAAAAATACCTTTAGTTGCAAAATTGATGTTATCACTGTTTAACTAAACACAAACATTATCATACACCAGAGCTGACCAAAGACAGTGTGCTTGCTTATTCACAATGATTGATAGTAAAAGAGCAATTCTGGAATTCGGTTAAGCATATTCAGGGACATTATGCGGTAAAATCCAATCTAAAGTTATGGGTCTTTTGTTGGTGACTTACAATAAAGATCCCGAAAACATTTAAAAAGCTTAAAGAGAATAAAGATAGTTGTAAATGTGATATGAACTTGCAAGGGAAGTTAACACTGATATCAAAGTTGGGTAAACAAACTCCATTTTTCTCTAAAAGTGACAGTATGGTCATTCTACTGGACAATGTACCAGCTCTAATCAATTCATATAATCCATATGTTACATGAATATTAATCTATTTTGAACATTTAATTTGTAATTCAGAAAAAAATACATATATACTAATGCAATAGTGTAAAGAAAAGCCACTACAAAATACTTACACTTTTTTCTCTTTCAATCTGATTGTCAACATGCCTCACTTTGTCTAGATATTTAAAATGTAACTCTAACAATCTCTCCACCTTGAAATTGAAATAGTAAAACACTGGATCAGATACATATATAAAACATTGTTAGCTTAATACTTGTATATTAGTTTGATTAGCAATTTTTTCATACAATTAACCCCTTTCCTATCGAATCCACTTTCCACTGTCAATTTAAGAAATTTCTATATCAAAATGCTTTATCTAGCAGTCAACACTTAAGTACAGTTTAGCCATTCTATACTGGTGAAAGAGACAATTACAAGTTTTCATCATACCATAACTGGTGACTTCAACAACTCATGAAATATTAGACCATACAGACATTTAACAAAGAAGATTGGAAGCTCTCTCACCAGGAATAATTTTACCTGGCTACAGTATATCATTGGTCAGTGGTTTAAAGTCAGCAGCTTAAACATAAAAGCCAGAAAAGTCCCAAGAATTTATACAATACAGTTATTTTTTGATAAAAGATGTGCTTTTTATCATCATTTTAAAAACATTACAACATAATAACATACCATGTTCTGATAAGGACAGTACCATTAACATTTAACCTGCTAAATTTGTGTGATGGATTTGCCCAGCGCTGAATTTGGAACTGTATTTTCGATACTGATTTGGGATTTTAACATCAAAATAATTATGATCAGAATACAAAAATTGAGCTACAAACATTATAGTCAACTGTACAGATGTGAAGACTGGCCAGACTCTATAATGGTGGCAAAGGCTGATCTCTGTTCTATCAGGTTACAGGTTAAATTTATATACCATATCACTGCAAGTATCTAACTAAGCTATAGGTTGCAGACTTTACCTTTTCATGATCATTTTCGATGAATTTATTGAAGAGACGCTGCCTTTGTGTAGACTGACAATTCCTCAACATTGATCCAATTATAGAACTGATATGTTCTGTAATAGCAAAATATAATAATCATATTAATATATTATGTTCAATATAAATAATATTTAAGACAAGTGAATAATATGAGCCGTGTCATGACAAAACCAACATAGTGGGTTTGCGACCAGCATGGATCCAGACCAGCCTGCGCATCTGCGCAATCTGATCAGGATCCATGCTGTTCGCTTACAAAGCCTATTGCAAGTAGAGAAACTGATAGCGAACAGCATGGATCCTGATCAGACTGCGCGGATGCGCAGGCTGGTCTGGATCCATGCTGGTCGCAAACGCACTATGTTGGTTTTATCATGACGCGGCTCATATCATCTCTCAAATATTTTAGTGGTGGAGTGGTTAACAGACTAGTTATAAAAGGATTGCTAACTGGGTGGGTTCAAATCCTGTTTGGGGCAAGCTGTTGTTTCCTTAAGCAAAAAACTTTACGTTCATTGCTTAGTACTGATTAGTTCCGGGAACAGATTCGAGAATGTTTCAATAAGCTTATTTATGACAACAGACCTTGGACATTAACAATAATGTTGGTTTTCCTCTCAATGTTTATTCAGAAATTATGTGAGATATATGAAGAAATTAATAATTACTGGTTAGTTATTCTGGAAAGCCAGTTAGGTGGACTAACAGCCAAGATGTGATTAAAAAATGTGTTTGATCCACTTAAAATTGACAAACATACAGTTCTGTTCAAGCTTACTTTCTGAAAAAAACTAGTACCAATGTTTTATGAGATATATAACAATTATCCAAGAAGGGCTTGTACTAACATCCTGGAATTGAGAAGCAGACACTTCCTTTCTATTCAGCTGTGGTAAAGTAATATAAAACAAACCTTCTAGCTCTTCTGGGGGAGGTCCAGCCTTGCCCTGTTTTGGTGTTTTCATAAAAAGTGGAAATATTGTTCTCAGCCCTAAAATATCAACAAACTTCTGACAGTTATCCGTTCCTTCTACACCCGTCATGGCATGATTCAACACTTTTATTCCACAATTACGAGACATCTTCTTTTCTCTGTAATATCAACATAACATAAATAAACCTTAGTCAGCTGGCCATACCTGATTCTACCCATGTCGATGCCATCTTATAATGGTCTGCACCGTTGGCAATTTGTCAGTATTTACATGTGTTTATAACATTTCTCAAAAACAATAATGAATAGTTTTGTCAAGATTGAAAGATCAAAGTCCATTAAATGGTTAAATCTAATTATAAGGGAGCTGCATTTAATTAGTAGGACACATGCTTTGGATCTAATCAAGATCTCGTCAAGGACACTGTTATTTCCTTGACAAAAAAATACCCTGTACTGCTAAGAAATTGATGAGTTTTTGAACCTAAAACTAACATGTCCATGTGACTAAAAACAAACAATTAAGTGAAAACTCTCACCTCAACATGAGATTCATCAACTGTAGCCCCTCCCCTTTCAGGAAACGCCCCCGGTTTATTGGTGACATAAGACATGAACACAGGCAATTGAATATATTCTCCATCATTTCTATTTCTTCTTTTGATGTTGGATCATGACGCTTGTACCACTGAAAAAATAAAAAATATTGATCCATGTTTGTACCATTGAAAAGAAAAGAAAAAATTAAATCAAAATGCTTAAACTCTTGAAAAGTCAATAATGTATCATGACACTTATATCACTGAAAAGTAGCTATTAGATCAAGATGCTTGTACCATTGGAAAATTTAATATTGGATAATGACACTTCTCCATCCTTCATGATGGAATTACTGGCCTTGGGTTTATCAAACTCTTTTATTAGTTCTGTCTCGAATCTAAGGATTTTCATTAGTCAGTTTACATTCTGTGCTGGTTTCTGACCAATCAAATACCAGAATCTGAGTTTGAGTTTGGAAAAAATTCTTTATAACCTTGGACTGGTAAGGAAATCCCAGAAGTATGTACATAGTTGACTGATGAAAAGTACAGATCATGCACAACAGAGTACTGTAAGGGTTTGAATGCACTTGTGCTTACTTGCTTTTTGCAATATCTTACTTAAAACCATACACTTGACTCCTGTTAAATTACAGTCTTGACCTGCTAATCTGGAACAGATTATAAGCACTTAAAGAGAGTTTAGCATCAAAATACTAAACAATAACATACAAAATAGCTAAAAGTATTATCAGACTAGACTGCACACAATGAATGTACTGATTAAATTATGACACATACCGCTAACTGTTGTAGAATAACATCTATACCGTCTATATCACCCAGAATCTGTCTGTTATCTGTGAGATAAAAATATAGTACAGTAAGTTAAATAGTAAAATAAATAAGTACTTTTCACCTGTTTGCTGAACTTTTAACTATAATTTTGTGACATCTTGACTTTTAGCCAATCAGACATAAAAAATTAATTGTATAAAGGTACTCAGGAATCAAATTTTACAAGATAAATGTAAGTTTTATTATATGATTTCTTATAGGTTGGTTTATCACATGTTAATGTGAAAATAATACTTCAGTTGTTGTTGTTGGCTCTTAACTGGTGGAGGAAAACATCAGGTGCCAATCTGTACATTATTTCAGGCACTTGAGTAAAACCACCAAATTCTATAAGCTAACTGGATAGCTTTCTAACATGAAAGTATTCAAAATCGTTGAGGGACAAGTGGATTATAAGGAACAGCCCTTACCACTTTGCCACTGACGCCCATTATTATAATGTGATATAATATGTTACTGATTGTCCATCCTAAAAGATCGTAATACAATCAAATCATTTAAATTGACTAAATTCAATAAAAAAAGACAGTTAATACAAGAAAAAATCTAATCCACTTACCATCACTATTTTGTAAAAGTATGGCCAATATTTCTGTAGCATATAATTTGTTGGCATCAAATGGCATCTTAGACTGTAAACAGAAGAATGACAAATTGTGGCATGGTTACATCATACAAATGTTTTACTTGTGATATGTTATAAGCCTTTGTTATTACACATGTATACTAGTTAAGTAAAATTTTCACAAGGAATTAAATTTTGTCAATTTCGTGAATAGAACATTTTCCCATACATAAGTATTAGGTTAGTATCAAAGTGTCATATGAATTCAACAGAACTTAAAGTAGCAATTTCCTTATATTCAACATCCCCAATAAGTGTCTTATTTCATGAAGTTTTGCCCTAATGAAAATATCTGATTTTACAGTGAAAGTGTTTATTTCAATTTTAACCCTTTCACCACTAAATTTGTAAAATAAACTTTCTCTTATAATAAAAGTTTAAAGTAAGAAGGGAGTTGTGGCATAGATGTTAAGTTGTCTGCAATTCAACAAAGATATAGAAGGTTCAAACCCTTTTTGAGTTACAAATAATTTAACTCATATGACACCAGGCCTCAGGGTTATAAAACTTTTTCTGAGCTCTGTCTTGCAACTCAAATTTTTCGTTGGACATTGAACATTCTGTACATGTTTCAGACCAACCTGAAAGCTGACAAAAACTTTCTTTTTATCCTCAGACCCTATACTAGTAAGTCCCAGTGAAAAGACTCAAAAGTGTTAATAAACAAATCTCACATTGGGCGACTAACATTATAGGGTCAGATCAGACTATATGGAAATCCACACTAGTAGTCTGACCTATGAGATAGATTTTAAAAAGTATTATTAACAGTGACATAATTTAGAGTAATTTTATCTTAAAGCGCAGAATTTTTGTGAAGAACTGTATATATAACAAACTAACTTACCCTAATTCTCTTCAGCAACCACTGTAGAAGACCTTGTTGGGCAGCTTCTGCACACATCTCTGGCCGAAACTCTGCCATGTTTTCTATTACAGCTAAACAGAAACATAAACATACAATAAATGTATGTCATAAAATAATAAAGCAATACACTCAAAAATATTTATCTTTAATCTTTTTTTATAATTTTTTTTTCTCAGTGATCATACAGTAATACAGTGTACATAACATATAATAAACTTCTGTCCAGATAATACAAAAGCATAGCCACAAAGAGTTGTTTTTTTCACACAAAGAGTTGTTTTTTATCTTTAATCTTTGTACCTGGACAAATACAGATTTAACATTGATTTTTGTCATTTTTTTCTGACTTTCTTGCCGTGATGGCATTTATAATTTATAATTTATGAGAACACAATCCCATCCCATAATCTTGGTATTCAGCTACCAATGAATCATTTGTAATAAAAATCTGACCAACAAAATTAAGCAAGGTGATTCTTTGATTTCTGTCTATGTATAATAATGTACATAAATAAACCCAGTCCATTACCCTTTCTCTAACAGAACAAGCAATGAAACGAACAATAAAGTTAGGTTTACCTAATGTATTATGGACACCATCAGCCTCTTCTTTCACATTTTCATCAAGCCTCTCCAAGTTCTGTACCAGTAAAGCCACTACTTGCCCTTCAACCTACAAATATTGACAATATTTTTTTTCACAAAATCATTTTCCCCTTTTGGAAAGCAATACCCTAGCAGTTTATAACAGTTACCAATTATGGCACCACCATCAAGATGAAGCCAATTGATGTAGCGCACCTCCATAACTGAGGTAATTTCTGTGGACAGTAAGTGTCTCAATCTAGATTAAATCACTTAATATCAATGCTTGACAACAATTTTACTTATTAAAATGATCTTTATGTTGTCAAGAAAACCAATCTGAAGCCAGGCAGCTGTCAATCATTTGTACTGTGCTAAATTTGTATAATGGATTTGTCTTGTTTTGATATTTGGAGCTGTCTATTGTTGATCTGGGGTGGCTTTAATATCTAACTACTAATATAAAGCAACTCTAATGGCATGAGCATTGGGCAAGTCATGACTGCCAACAGTCTAAGGTCGAACCAACGACCCCTTGATTCTAATTCAATGCTCTCCTTAATGAGCTAAGCTAGAAGAATGAAATAAAGAATCTAGTGAAAGATACTCACAAGGGCTCCTATCAAGGCTGCAGCTCCTTCATCACTTTCATTTAGTGTGTCCACATCTGTCAGTTCCTGCATCAAATCCACTGTTGCTATGGAGATATCTATACAAGGTCAAGGTCAATAGCAATGTTTTGGGGGTTTTATAGTGCTATTAAATTTAAAGCCATTTTAATGGTACTTATTACACATAAAAACATTACTTCAATCATTTGTAGGGAAAATGACAAAAATCATCTTTAAACTAGAAAAGGATACCAGTGTTTTCGTGTGTCAATAACTGTAGCATTGACTGTACTGTGTTTAAATCCACCAGAATATGATACAGTTCCGGTGCCGTGGCGATAACGTGCATTTCCTGTATAACATCGTTCAGCTCCACCTCTGATTCCATAAACCTAAAACACAATAAATACAACAAAATTTGATACTTAAAAAAAACTTCGGAATAAAAAAAACAACTTAAAGAGGCATTTTAATTCTTATTTAACTTTAAAATTAAAAAAAGAAAATACAAGTACATGTATATACTAAACATGAATGATTTTTTATCAATGAAGTTGTACATTTCATCATCTCCTAATGTTTACTTGAGACAATAAAATTTTATCTACACAAAACAGTCAGGTAGAAAGTGTGCAAGACTATTCTCAGTGCTTAATAATTAAACAATGTATGTAGGACTAATTTAATTTCACAAAGTGGGATACAATTTAATTAAATTACATGTAAGAGTTACAAATGTATGTATCAAGGAAAGTGATCAACAATAATGATCCAAAATACCAAGTAAAATTTTGTATGAACACTTCCAGTTGTTTATAAGACATATGACCATATCCAAGTGTTATGCCAACACCAGGGTCATTAGAATTACCTCACTATTCTGCTTAAGTTAAGCTATAAATAATGAATAGTATTAAATTCACTGACAACAATATTCAATATCATATCTAATTACTTTTCTGGCATATCTGGAAACTTGATTCGCATTTCCTGATTTTTGTAGACAGATTTCTCGAATTTCAGCACCAGTTTCTTCAGATTGGTTTCATCCATTGCTTCTACCTATGAAAATATACCAACTAGAAATGTGTCATCATGCCACGGATGTCCCCGCATGCAGCCAAAATTTCAAATGTTATAATATTTAGTTCCAAATTTGTTTGCACAAATTATTTTTTTCATTCTATGTTCAAAGCCCCTAAAACTTTTCAATGTTAACACAAACCATTTTTATACAATGTTCAAGGCACTGAAATTATTCAGTCTTAACCTTTTGAAAATAGCATATTGCATATTTGTAGCCAAAATAATGGCTATATATATATTTCCACAAAATTGTGAGTGCTGAAACTGAAAGTTCAAAATTTTTCCAACATTCAGGAAAGATAAGTTTGTCCAAAATCATTGAACAACAACCAAATTCCAACTTAAACTGCTTATTCTAAGATGTATCTACCGGTATATTATTTTCAAAGTGAAAAGGACATAACTCTGCCAAAAAATCATCGAACCATGACCAAATTCAAACTTGACCTGCGCATTCCTTTGACATATCCATATGTCAATTTTGAGTTGAATATGTAACACTGTTGGGTTGATAATGAACAGAAACTGTAAATATCATATCATTTTCAAAGTGAAAGGGGCATTAAATCATTGAACCATGACCAAATTCGAACTTGGCCTGAGCATTCCAAAAATATATCCATATGTCAAATTTGAGTTGAATGTGTAATACTGTTGGAGAGATAATAAACGGAAACTGAAAATTTCATATTATTTTTAAAGTGAAAGGGGCATAACTCTGCCAAAAATCATCAAACCATGACCAAATTTGAACTTGACCTGTGCATTCCTTTGACATGTCCATATGTCAAATTTGAGTTGAATGTGTAATACTGTTGGGGAGATAATAAACGGAAACTGAAAATTTCATATTATTTTCAAAGTAAAAGGGGCATAACTCTGCCAAAAATCAACAAACCATGACCAAATTTGAACTTGACCTGCGCATTCCTTTGACGTATCCATATGTCAAGTTTGAGTTGAATGTATTGTACCATTGGGGAGTTAATGAACGGAAACTGAAAATTTCATATTATTTTCAAAGTAAAAGGGGCATAACTCTGCCAAAAATCATTGAACCATGACCAAATTTGAACTTGACCTGTATTTTCTCATGACATATCCATATGTCAAGTTTGAGTTGAATGTGTTGTACCGTTGGGGAGATAATGAACGGAAACTGAAAATTTCATATTATTTTCAAAGTAAAAAGGGGCATAACTCTGTCAAAAATCATCGAACCATGACCAAATTCGACCTTGACCTGTATTTTCTCATGACATATCCATATGTCAAATTTGAGTTCAATATGTGCAACGGTTATTAAGATAATGAACGGAAACTGATGATGACGGAATGACGGAATTAAGGAATGACGGAACAGGGTAACACTATATGCCCTTTGCCATTTTATGGCGGGGGCATAAAAATGACAATTATCTTAATGATAATTATTCAAGCACAAAATAGATATAAACTAGAACTGCCACTATCATGGCGTGAATACCCCCGCATACCACTTTGTCAGAATCAACAATGGCCATTTAGAGCTCAAGGACAACCTTCCTGTTTGAGGTTACTAAGCCAGTGCATTGCTAAGTTATGTATTCTACATGCTTCAAATGTGAAAATGTCAAAATCAATACATTGCAGACAGGACATTCTTTAGCAATTGAGAAGAAAAGCTTTTTTTGTCAAGGTCCCTGTGACCTTGACCTTTGACCCAGTGACCTCAAAATCAATAGGGGTCACCTTATAGTCATGATCAACATCCATGCCAAATATGAAGACTGTGGGTCAAAGGAATCTTAAGTTAATGGGTGGACAAACTTTTTGAAGTCAAAGTCCCTATGACCTTGACCTTTGATCCAGTGACCTCAAAATCAAAAGGGGTCATCTACTAATCATGATCAACATCCATGCCAAATATGAAGACTGTGGGTCAAAGGAATCTAAAGTTATTGGGCAGACAAACTTTTTGAAGTCAAAGTCCCTGTGACCTTGACCTTTGACCTGGTGACCTCAAAATCAATAGGGGTCATCTACTAATCATGACTAACCTCCATGCCAAATATGAAGACTGTGGGTCAAAGGAATCTTAAGTTATTGGGCGGACAAGCTTTTTGAAGTCAAGGCCCCTGTGACCTTGACCTTTGACCCAGTGACCTCAAAATCAATAGGGGTCATCTACTAATCATGACTAACCTCCATGCCAAATATGAAGACTGTAGGTCAAAGGAATCTTAAGTTATTGGGCGGACAAGCTTTTTGAAGTCAAGGCCCCTGTGACCTTGACCTTTGACCTAGTGACCTCAAAATCAATAGGGGTCATCTACTAATCATGACTAACCTCCATGCCAAATATGAAGACTGTAGGTCAAAGGAATCTTAAGTTATTGGGTGGACAAGCTTTTTGAAGTCAAGGCCCCTGTGACCTTGACCTTTAACCTGGTGACCTCAAAATCAATAGGGGTCATCTACTAATCTTGACTAAACTTTATGCCAAATATGAAGACTGTAGGTCAAAGGAATCTTAAGTTCTTGGGCGGACAAGCTTTTTGAAGTTAAGGCCCCTGTGACCTTGACCTTTGACCTAGTGACCTCAAAATCTAGAGGGGTCATTTACTAATCATGACTAACCTTCATGCCAAATATGAAGACTAAGGGTCAAATGAATCTTAAGTTATTGGGCCAACAAGTTTTTTGAAGTCAGGCCCCTGTGACCTTGACCTTTGACCTAGTGACCTCAAAATCAATAGGGGTCATCTACTAATCATGACTAACCTCCATGCCAAATATGGAGACTGTAGGTCAAAGGAATCTTAAGTTATTGGGCGGACAAGCTTTTTGAAGTCAAGGCCCCTGTGACCTTGACCTTTGACCCAGTGACCTCAAAATCAATAGGGGTCATCTACTAATCATGACTAACCTCCATGCCAAATATGAAGACTAAGGGTCAAAGGAATCTTAAGTTATTGGGCGGACAAGAAAAAACCGACGGACAGCCGGACGGACGGCCGGACAAGCTGATTCCAGTATACCCCCCTTACAACTTTGTTGTGCGGGGGTATAATAAACAGTGTAAACTCATGTTAAAACAATTCTCTGAACCTTTAAACTGCAGGAGCAGAAAGTGATATTCCTTTGCTACCAGTATGACTAGAATCTTTTCCGTTTGTTGCTCAGGATTTGTATTTTGATAATGAAATCTCTTCAAGTTTAAATGGACTGTTCCATATTTAAAGTAAGACAAAGCTGTAACACAAATTAAGCTGGCTATATATATCTAAACAGAATTGGACTCACGTCAGGTTCATTCTCAACCATCTGTAGTATTTTCTCTCTCTCTTCCTCACTGATGCCGGCCTTGGCGGATTTACCACCACGCGGTTTCTTCTCTTCATAAACATAATCATCGTCGTCGTAGTCATCATCGTTATCATCAGCAATTTGTCTCTTCTTGCTTTTTGGGTTTGGTTTGTCAGGCTGAAAAGTTCAAATGTAGTTACATTATTTTAAAGTATGCTTTCAGAAAAAAATAGGTAAAGAAGATACATTAAGTTATCTACAGTAACACTAGTTTACTACCGGTATTATGAAACAAGTGGGCCATGAAGTCGCACTTTTAGCTCATGTGAAATAAAGTTGTTATATGTTGAATCTCATGCTGGGTCTAACACATGATATTATGAGACAAGCAACTGGAGATAAGCGCCTCAGCATGATTTGTCTTATCAGCCACATGCATCACCATTTTGTTATGTTGATCCTTGTGAAAGCATATTTTTTTGTAGGAAGTTAAAAGTGTCCAAATAATAGATATATATCAACCAGCTGGAGTAAGATTCTAACATTCCCTCTGTACTTAAATTGTCCAAAGATGACATTATGAAAGTTAATCAATGCAATTTTTGATAATAACAACATTAATAAGATTTAAACAGTTATATTGATACTTATGTCCTACATAAAGTACAAGGATAAATTTAAGAAGAAAAAGAGTAATTTCTTTTGACACATGTATTTAACAAGCTAGCCATGTTGTTACCACATTCCTGCACATCACATGACTTGTGAGACTTTATGTTTGGAGACCTTTGCTGACCTGTGACCTAAGCTATTGTAAATAATTATAGCTTTGCAATGTATTTTACTATTTATATAATAAGATTGGATTCATACTGATGTGAGTGATGATAAAATAAATGATATTTTATGTTTATATATAATAGTACATTACTCAAAATTGTGTAGGCCTATGGTCCATTACTAAAAACAGAAAAATGAATGATTTTTAACAGACTTCCCTATTCAAAGGCTTTGCCTAATTTCACATTAGTTATTCATGTTCTGTTCACAAACTCCCAAATATTCTGGCAGCCTTTGCAAATTGGGTTAACCCATAACTTAACTGTTGCACAATGTCAACATAAAAGCAACATTTAAGTTTTTTTTTTTTGTTATGGAAGCCAGAACTATAACATATTAAGAGAATACACACATTGACAGTCTCTATATGAACAACATAAATAACCGAGAAATATCAGCTGAAAAAATACGAGCAGTTTCTTTTATCTTCAAGTGAAATCAATATCTTAATGCTAAAACAATACAAATTTAGCCGTTTTTAAACTGCTAGTTTGGGGCAATTAAATGTCAGATTTAAAGATTTATTACACCAATGAAAAGCTTGTGATATTAGCTTCGTCTCGGTATTATATTTCAACAGATCGTTTTGACACTAAAGGTATTTAAATTTACGGTTAAACCTACCACAAGTCAGATCATTTTACATAAGATTTATACAGTGAGATATGCAACAGGATATCTTGACCAATGACAGGAATAGCATCAGGGATTTACCAACACTTAATTATATTAAGGGTCCATTGGACAAATGAACAGGGGTCCACCACAATATTTTGGGGGTTGACTCCAAGACAATTTCCAAAATTGCTGACTTTGCTCACAGAAGAAGTACAGTAAGATTGCAATATATAAATGACTGCATTGTAAACAACAAAATGATCTTTCTTAGATTTATTTCTCAAACAAAAACAAAAAAAGCTTTTTAGTATTTTGACTAAAAACGAGTCAGTCTAGACATTAAACAATTAACTCAGGTGTACTACACACTGTTTTAATTTAGTCTCCTGGGATTTGCCGGACGCAGGATCCTGTGTCATATATGCATACAATGCTGAGTTTTGAAAGTTTTAATAGTACAACTTTCAAAAAACGGGTTAGTCAAACTCTTGGCTATAATGCAAGTGTTACAAAACATTCTTTCATCCCGTAGCTCTAACCATTTGTATCTATCTTACCTGACAGACTGGAATGTTCAGTCATGTTTCAGTTTTGTGGACTACTATGATGATGTACTCGCTTCAGTTACAGTTGACGAGACTGGCTCATCGTCATCTCGTTTTTTGTTTCGAACCCCCCCCCCCCCCCGCCAAAATTTCAGATGTTATAATATTTAGTTCCAAATTTTTTGCACAAATTTTTTTTTTCATTTTAAGTTCAAAGCCCTTAAAACTATTCTATGTTAACATTAACCATTTTTATACAAAGTTCAAGACACTGAAACTATTCAGTGCTAACCTTTTTGTAAATTGCATATTTGTAGCCACAATAATGGCTACATACATTTCAACAAAAGTATGAGTGCTGAAACTGAAAATTCTAAATTTTTCCAACACTCAAGAGAGATAACTTTGTCCAAAATCATTGAACCATGACCAAATTCAAACTTGAACTGCTTATTCCTAAGATGTATCTATATGTCAAATTTGAGTTGAATGGGTACAACCATTGGGGAGATAATGAACGGAAACTTAAAATTTCTGATTTTTCAAGAGGGATAACTCTGTCAGCTATCATCAAACCATGACCAAATTCGAAATTGACCAATGCATTCTTATGACATATCCATATCTTTAATTTGATTGAATACGATCGACTGTTACGGTGGTAATGAATGGGAACTGAAAATTTCCTTTTTTTTCAAAGTTAAAGGGGCATAACTCTTCCAAAAATCATCGAACCATGACCAAATTCGAACTTGACCTGCGCATTCCTTTGACATACATATATATATATTTCTATGTCAAATTTGAGTTGAATGTGTAACATTGTTTGGGAGATCAGGAACAGAAACTGTAAATTTCATATTATTTTCAAAGTGAAAGAGGCATTACTCTGCAAAAAATCATTGAACCATGACCAAATTCGAACTTGGCCTGGGCATTCCTTTGAGATATCCATATGTCAAATTTAAGTTGAATGTGTAACACTGTTTGGGAGATAATGAACAGAAACTGAAAATTTCATATTATTTTCAAAGTGAAAGGGGCATTACTCTGCACAGAGCTCCAGATAGCGTGCGTATAAGCGTAAAATACGCATAGAAAATCTAAAATACGCATCACTTTCAAAATTCGTGCGTCACAGTTACGCATAACAAAATGAAAATACGCTCGTATGTCAAAATTTATGCGTAAAAGAATAGAAGTGTAAACATTTGATATGTAGAAATAAAATGTTTTGAGCATAAAATACAATATATTTCCATTTAATTGCATTGAAAACTAAAAATTCTGTTGTCAACAACGCATGTTAAAAACGAAAGTAGCAGGAAATACAGAAGGGAGGTAACTCTCGTATATCTATCAACCTGTGAAATTATTGATGAAATTTGTGCAAGATAATCTTCGTAGGAGTTAACACAGTATTAAGTTTGTTTAGGCATCTATTGACATACTCAATATAAACAAAAATATATTTTAATTTCTTTAACTTTAGTTGTTGGAACACCTGCAGTTTTGTACTCAATATTTTCGTACCCAGTTTACAGTAACGGACAATTTTCTCTCAGACCAATAATTTTTTTTAAGGAAAGATAAAAAAGTCTTGTTTATGTTTCTTTAATTCTAATTTCAACTATAATTGTTCAAACTGTAGTACATGATAAGGTACATGCCAACAAAAATAAAGAAAGAAAAATATTGACTCCTAGAAAATAAAATAACTTGAGGGCTTCCACTAGTGGAAGTTTGGGAGTCTTTTACTCCTTCAATTGGCCTGTGACTTCCAAAAATCAATAATTTCCTTCTTTACCTATATAATGTGACTTCCAATATCAGAGATTTTGAAGTCTTTGACTTCCAAATTTTGAAAATGGAAGCCCTGATAATTTTGCTGTGTATCCTAAACTTGAGTTCCAGTATACTCTGGAAGTCTGACTTTACATGGCATGTTTTGTATTGTTTCACATTAAATCAGTATTTAATTTGTAAAGGTTTTTCTAAAAAAAGAAAATAAACAAACAAACAAACACAACAATAAGTTTAATTTGTTTATAAAAAATGCAAAATGCTTTTTTGACAGATTTTACCCCTTAAGTTTTTCAGAATTTGCATTTTACCCCTCACTCTAAATTTTGAGGGGTAAAAACCCCTTGGCCAAAAAAATTATCTGGAGCTCTGTCTGCATAAAATTTTTCAAACCATGACCAAATTTGAACTTGACCTGTATTTTTTCATGACATATCCATATGTAAAATATGAGTTGAATGTGTAATACCGTTGGGGAGATAATGAACGGAAACTGAAAATTCATATTATTTTCAAAGTAAAAGGGGCATTTCCATATGTCAAATTTGAGTTGAATGTGTGCAACTGTTACTAAGATAATGAACGGAAACTGATGATGACAGAACAGGGTAACACTATATGCCCCAGCCATTATATGGTGGGGGCATAAAAAAAATTATAAATGAACTTCATCCAAAATTCAATCAAAATAAAATAGATACCAAGTACTTTTTTAACAATGAAGAATATTGTTTATTTAAATAGGTTTTGTGATTAAACTCTTTAGCACTAAATATATTTAGACCAGGCCAAAACACCTTTTTTGGGGAAGAGGCCTCAGCCTTTCTCTTGGGGAAAATATGTGTGAATTTGGCATACTTTGGGAAAAGGGGTCTCAAATTTAACACAAACTTTTAACAAGTTCTTCAGAATAGAAAAGCAAAAAACACTTGGAAAAACTAATAAGGCAGTAAAAGACCTTAATTCAACACCTGCATTTAATTTTGTTCTAAATTCTATGGGAAATTTCAAAGACTTGGGAACTTTTAGGACCAAACTGGGGAAAAAAAGAGGCTAGTTTCACTGTTTGGTTGGAGAAGCAGCCTATATTCGGCCTCTACAAAGAAGGGTTTTTTGGCCCTGTTAGATATTAAAATATTAGCACTGTTAGCGTAGTAAACAGTGGTTTTAAATGAATTATTTATGCAATTATTATTTTAATTGTCACCTGATTTAATATTTCAAACTGTAATTATTTTTAGTCAGTTGACGAGTAGACTTACCTAACTTAACCCCGACAGTTACTGTAAACAATTTTTGTGTGCCCACGGTACTAGATTTCTATTACTACTAATAATTTATTTTAAAATATAGAAATTTATGACAATTTTTCTGTGTCCCTGTGTACGCAGAATTTATTTTTTGTGCATACAGGATGGCATTTTATGCATATATCACGCAGGATCCTGCGTCCGGTAAATCCCTGTTGCATGTCCTCTGCTAGTTGTGAAACTTTCAATGGTGTATTGTGAAAGTGCCATTGATCAGTTGATAATCACATTGACATTCTTCAAATTTCAACCACCATGCCCTTTCACGACACTCTTTCAATTTGAAGAATCCTAATCTGCACAATAATCGTGCAATTCAACAAAACCTACTCTTGACTTAACTACAACTAAAATCATATTTTCATTATTTTTTTTATCTAACCAAAAAAAAGTGTGGATTACCTCCCTTTATACCAAGGCTTAAACAAGATTTTAATGCATTATAAGTGGGGGGAAATTATTGACACTGATGTAATTTATTTTTCAAAAACGTGTATTCAATTTTCCAAACTCTATGAGTCCAACCATATGAAACATTATGGATAGATTTAGGATACCTGAAATGAAAGTAATTCCACAACGTCCATGTTTATGGTGTTACGGTAAAAATGTTATAGAGTGGAAAGACCTAGGATAATTTAAACGATAAAAATCTAAGCACCGTCGCCGTTCATGTGACTCAAGTGACCAATGAAATTTCAGTAATGGCGACGACTATGAGAAAAGTATTAATCGTTTTCTTATAAATTTCTGGCATTGTTTGTAAGATTTACGAAAATTGAATCAATCCTGTACCATAGGAAAGAATACACCAACGTTGCTTTATTGTAAGAATTTTGAATTTAGGCATATGATGTCTAAATTATGCCCCAATCGATAAAAATGAATTATTTTCTGAAGCCGGGGTATAAAAAAAGTTTCACCAACATGAGGACAACCGTTTTACGAGAAATTGATAACGCTATATGTCGTTATATAGATTCAGCAACAATATGGTGTCAGTGATGTCAATATGGTGTCAGTGATGTCAATAACCCGACTTATCACCACCAAGAATTATCTGCGGCAGTGCCTCAAAACCGGTAGTCAGACTATTCTCTCCCTTACCGTTTCCTCCCCTGACGTTTCCTCCCTGACGATTCTCTCCCTATTTTGGGGGAGAATCGTCTGCATAATTGCAAATATGCAGACAGTTCCCCCCATTTTTATTTTCATTTGAATATTATATTTGAAGTATTTAGATGTTAAATAAAAGGGTAAGTTTATCATTAATTGATACAAATTAAAGAAAAAATATTTTATTGAAGTATTTAGATGTTAAAAATGGGTATATTTCAATGGGTATATTTTATTGAAGTATTTAGATGTTAAAAATGGGTATATTTCAATGTGTTTAGTCATTAAAAATAATTATTGAATAATTAATTTGATAGGGATAATAATTAGATATTAATTATTGTGTTTTATTTTTTTTTCTTCTTTCATCTTAAAAATTAAAAGTACTGTAAATATTTAAAAACATATTAATTGATTATTTTTCATACCTGAAACAAAATTGCTTTGATGTTAAACTAATTTGATCTGTCTAAACAATAAGTGAATGTGCCTTTAATTAACACTTAAAATGTTGCAACAAACAAAATTTGTTTATTGATAAAATTTTGCTTATATAAGGATATCATATTTCTAAAATATTCATTGTATATTGATAATAATTGTTTCATGTTAATGACTAATTGTTCTTTAAGTCAAAACTGAAAAGATAATGGGATAATCATTAGATATTAATTATTGAATAAAATAAATATGAATGCATTGTAATTGCTAAATTTTATACTTTGGTATAATATGAAGAAAGATTCACATGTTCAATACACATGTGTGTTAAATTTGCTGTCAGAGATAATTGATGTGTTTATTTAATCATTACTGGAGATCACGGTGTTGATTAGATTAAAATAGCTGTGAGCGGGTGGTGATATATTACTGATACTGTATATTATTAAATTTATTCATAAGAAATTTCAGTTAATTAATTGTGATCTAAGCATCTGTATTTTTATTAGTTATTTGGTATTGTATATTGTTTCATGTTAATGTAAGTCAAAACTGAAAAGATAATGGGATAATCATTAGAGATAATTGATGTGTTTATTTATTCATTACTCAAGAATCAAGGTGTTGATTAGATTAAAATAGCTGTGAAAAGGTGGTGATATATTACTGATACTGTAATGTGGCTTTCTGTGACTGTTTAATATAACAGACATTGTTTTTTGTATTAGAATTAAATTATCTTTGTTAATAATTTTGATATAATTTACATTTTTTGTAATATGATCATCAATGAGCTTTAAAATGAAAAATTTTCAATTCATGAAATTAATAACACTTAAAGCATAAATTTGAGTTAATTTTTGATTTCATATTTATTCTATTTCAATTATATTACCTTTTATTCATATAAATAAAAAAGTCTAACTTAATTAACATATTTTAATTTCCTTGTAATTAATTTCAATAAAATTTATTAAAACTTCATTAATTCTTAACTCCAAGTCATATTTTTGTGATTGAAAATATTTAAGATCTCAGAAGAAATATCCAACAGAGCTGATTTGAACTTGGTATTATATATTGTTTCATGTTAATGACTACATGTTCTTTCAGAAATTTTGTATAAAAGTAAATGTGATTGCATACCAGTTGTTGCTTATTTGTTTTCTAAAATTTGTTACCACCCTACGTGCTATTTAAACAAATTAATGAATATCAATAGACATTAATTAACATAATTACAGGTGTATATCAGTCACTGTCCAATAATTAATCACCCACAATGAAGGTGTTGATAGGATTAAAATACTTGAAAAAGGTGTGAAATTTACATGCACTAAATTCAGATAAACAAAACATTAAAAACACTTAATTATCAAACACATAATTTTAATAATATTCATTAAGAAATACAACTAGATTAAGTCAAAACAAAAAAGATAACTTATAAATAAAAATTGGGGGAGAACTGTCTGCATATTTCAATTTTGGGAGAGAATCGTCAGGGGAGGAAACGGTTAGGGAGAGAACCGTCAGGGGGAGGAACTGGAAAGGGAGAGAATAGTCTGTCATTCCTCAAAACCCTTGCTTTTTCCTTCTTTTTTTTAGAAATTGAGAAGGTGTTGGAAAAAAGTGGTGGTAAATTGCTTTGCACTTGTCAGTTGGCCCCTCCATCCATATGCCAAACCATTTCCAAACAATGGAACACCTGGGCCTAAGATCTGTAAACTTGGCATGGAAATTTGTTGTGAACAGTAGCAGAGCTCCAGATCGGCGGCACGAAATACCCAAATATACCCAAATACACCCAAATATACCCAAATATTGCCCATATATACCCAAATGTAGCAATATTCATTTATTTTTGTATAAAATACAGATTATAATGAGAAAATTAATTAATATTTATAACATAGTATGACTTAGGCGGCTATAACTTTCATTCATTCCGTTGAAATGGGCAGTTCAGATGTTGTAAGAAAATAATCTTGTGACATTTGCTTATCTACAGTAGGTTCATTAATGAATATACTTGCAACTTAAGATAAAGATATGATAAAATTTGTTGACTTCATTTTTCTTTTTTTTGGTATAAACTTTGCTAAAATTTCATACAAGTGTCCATCGTTTTATTTTTTTAAAAAATTTAATATAGCTTTAATGGGGTATACTGTATTGGTATATTTTGGTGATAGGAAAATGAATATTTGGCTATGTTTTGATTTTATCTTAGTGAATGTTTATATTGTAATTCATAATAAAAATAACACTTTTTGTTATAAAACATTTATTTTTAGTATATTGGGACATTATTTTTAGTATATTTGGCAATATTTGGGTATATTTGGGTATATTTGGGTGTATTTGGGTATATTTGGGTATTTCGTGCTGCCCCTCCAGATAGCTTGCGTATCAGCGTAGAATACGCCAGGGCTCATCCGGAAGGGCGATTCAGGCGAAAACTGGCAGTGTATATTTCCATTTCGCTCTCCCAATTGATCAAAGAGAAGTCAACATCGCCGATAAAATCTTCCAAAATTCCCAAAGAGTAATTACTTGGCGATGTAAAGAGCAGAGATTTTATCCGCCCATATGACGACTGCTAATTATCATTATCCAATCAGAGCGTCGCTTTATACTACCCTTCTACCTGTCTGCAAAGCGATAGACCGCCTACTGTAAACAGTAAATAATGAGAGCATCGGCCCGAAACGGGTATAATTGTGCAACAGTTTTTCGAGTTTAATACGGGATTAGGCTATAATTATAGATTGTTTTTTCCCCGATCATCTAAACACGTGCAAATCTTCCCTAATTGATATTAGACATTACAACCTAAAAAACATTATAATGTCACATTTATGTGCATATAATTATGCTTATAAAACAATTTTCAAACATCGAAGAATATGTAAAATATGTACTGCAAACATTACAACATAAAAAACATTAGTTAGGGGCCTCCGTGGCCGAGTGGTTAAGGTCGCTGACTTGAAATCACAGGTCCCTCACCACTTAAGGTTCGATCCTCACTCGGGTCGAAATCTTTCATGTGAGGAAGCCATCCAGCTGGCTTATGGAAGGTGGGTGGTTCTACCCAGGTGCCCGCTCGTGCCTGAAATAATGCCCGGAGGGGCACCTGGGGTCTTCCTCCGCCAATAAAGCTGGAAAAAAATCTGGGCGGGACGCTCTAGGATGGCCCGACTTGAGTGTACGGTCGCCCATATGGGCTTTCCGGCGGCGACCTTAAATAAACGCATTTAAAAAAAAACAAAAAAAAAAAACATTAACAACATAGTATTACATACATACAAAATCATAAAAGAATTTCTGTAATCAGAACAGAATTGACAGACTTTGTAATGTTAATCAATATCCAATGTAACTTTATCTTCTATTAAAAGTGAGGAAAGTAAAAATATAAAATTAATTTATTAATCATATTTTTTCTTACACATTGTTATCAATAAATCTACATGAAAATATATAAACAAATATTTAGAGAAAGCTTATAAATAGCTGATAAATAGATTAATTGTGTTTATATTATAGTTAAAGGAGGTATAGCCATGCATGTTAATGCATACACATTGGGTTGTTTCCCTTCTCCCTATTTTTCGCGAGGAAGTCACTTCTCCCTAAAATTTCCCCCCAGGATGAGCCCTGTACGTATAGAAAATTTAAATTACGCATCACTTTCAAAATTTGTGCGTCACGTAACGCACAACAAAATGAAAATACGCTTGTATGTCAAAATTTAGGTGTGAAAGAATAAAAGTGTAAATATTTGATATTTAGAAAGAGAATGTTTTGAGCATAAAAATCAATATATTTCCATTTTATTGCTTTGAAAACTAAAAATTCTGTTATTCATGTTAAAAACGAAAGTAACGGGAAGTACAGAAGGGAGATAACTCTCGTAGATCAACCTGTGAAATTATTGATAAAATTTGTGCCAGCTAATCATCGTAGGAGTTAACATAGTATTGTTTGTTTATGCATCAATTGACATGCTTATACCTCAATATAAACAAAAATATATTTTAATTTCTTTCACTTTTGTTGTTGGAACAAAAAACCCGTTTTTCACCTGCAGTTTTGTACTCAATATTTTCGTACCCAGTATACAGTTTTGGACAATTTTCTCTCAGACCAATGATTTTTTTAAGGAAAGATAAAATAAATCTTGTTTATTTTTCTTTAATTCCAATTTCAACTATAATTGTTCAAACAGGAGTACATGATTAGGTACATGCCAACAGAAATAAAGAAAGGAAATATTGACTCCTAGAATACATGTATAAAATAATTTTAGGGCTTCCACTAGTGGAAGTTTAGGAGTCATTTACTCCTTCATTTTGGCTTGTGACTTCCAAAATCTAATACTTTTCCTTCTTTACCTATAAAATGTGACTTCCAATATCAGAGATTTTGAAGTCTGACTTTCAAATTTTGAAAATGGAAGCCCTGATAATTTTGCTGTGTATCCTTAAAACTTGAGTTCCAGTATACTCTGGAAGTCTGACTTTACAGAGCATGTTTATTATTGTTTCACATTGAATCAGTATCTTGTTTGTAAAAGTATTTCTAAAAAAAGAAAACAAACAAACAAAAACAATATTATAAGTTTAATTTGTTTATAAAAAAATTTTTTTTGACAGATTTTACCCCTTAAGTTTTTCAGTATTTGCATTTTACCCCTCACTCTAGATTTTGAGGGGTAAAAACCCCTTGGCCAAAAAAATTAGCTGGAGCTCTGCAGTAGAGTGGTTGGATCAATGCTCGGCATAGAAATTATTTATTTTGAATATCTGAAAATGTTTCAAGTTGTCTCCGATTTAGGTCACTGGTGCTTTGATTTACATCTTTTACCATTTTATCGTGGTGTGGTTCACTGCTCGTGAAGTTGCGTGACAATGCTAATAGTAGACCAACGACGGTATTTAATTCGCAACATATAAATTATTAAAATCTTTTAACACTAGAGTTCTGTGGCTGTAAAATTTAATACTTGTAAATGTATGAACCTAATTTTGTTGTCACAATTTATTCAATATGTTTTCTTTTTAAGATAAAAAAAGATATTATTGAAAAACAAACCTGCATCATGTAATACTGTACGCCAAGCTATGGTACAATTTCATGCAAACCGCACTTGTTTGTCTGCCATGTTTGTGATTATGTGATTAGTGAATTTTACACAATGGCTATTTAAAACAATATCATCGGTCTTGAAAATGGACATATAACATTGAGGTTTGTTAACATTGATTTGAATTTGTCATATCAAATATAGTATTTTTATGCCGAGCATTTGGTCCACCCACTCTAGATGACCCCTAGGTCATTGACATATATATCAAACAATTTCTGACATTTAAAGTCAACAACCCATGGGCCCTTGCACTTAAACTTCACAGGCGCTTTGGTCTTGGTCAGAAGATGACCTTTATTGATTTTTAGGTTTGCAGGGTCAAAGGTCAGGTCACATTGACTGTCGTAATGGTTTTGACTAATAACTTGACAACCAATGGTGAATGGGTTCAGGGATGTCTGTTAAACTTTTATTGACATGGTCACATGTATATTATGTAGTGCAAAGAAAATGAACAATTTAAGTGCTTTCTTGATACTGATACAGAAATATATTAATACCATAATTGATTTTTTCCCTGGTTTTGTCTTCCTTTATTGCATCCAGTATTTTTTAAACAAACGTGGCTGACTCATCAACACTCTTGTTTAAATTTGTAAAATTTATTTTACTGTGTAAAAGTCTTTTAAATGCAAAAACAAGTAATCGCCCTTTTAAAAATGTACTAATTTAGATTAAAAATTTTTTATATGGGGTTAAATAGTTTTACAGTGTATTAAAAAAAAGATCAGCGATTGTTTGTCAGCTATACCCCAAAATGATGGGGTCTGTGCCTGTGGGGGTTTAATCTAAAATGAGACAGCTGTTCATTAATATCATGAGCTTTTTTTTTTTTTTTCTTTTGACAAAAATATGTTCTTACTTACATAAATTAATTTACACAAAAACATGTTTGAATATTTGTGTACTCCCAAATTTTGAAATGTACCCTCAATTTTCAATGACATGGGGCACATGTACCCTTACATTTGAAATTAAGTGGGCATGCTTATTGCATGTATACAACTTCTGACATGCTGATGAGAGAGGCATACAGGTGTATATTGACAAACATCTCCTGTGTTTGTATATTTCATTATTTTCACAAAAACTGTCACAGATATTTACTTCAGGGTTGAAAGAATTGAAAAATAACTGAAATAACTGAAAAAAAGTGGACTGTGCTGCTCCTTGGACAGCTCTAGTTCTTTACAACCAGATATCTTTCATTTGAAATTCTTATTCTTGATTTCAAAGAATGAGAACTTGATCTCTTTATCTTATAAAAAGCTAAAAATTTGACTGTTGTATCCTTTGGGAATGGTCTGGAGGTGAACTATCTTAATTGAAAGACTGACACTTGACCTGTGAAGAAAAGAGTGTATAGGGGTAATTAACAGAAAATTACACAAGCAGAATTTTGCTAGAAGCTCTTATAATAATACTTACAAAAAAATGTTGTTTATTTTTTTGTAACAATCTTGAAAGAGTCATACAATTTTATTCATGTTCTTTTTAATCAACTGTGACAACAAAACATACCAAAAATTTTTATTCTTCTATTAAGGGTTTGGGATGCGAACTTAAATCACAGTAAAAGCAAATGTACAAAAAAGGACTAAGATATGCTTTTAGCCATATTTCAGATAATGCAGTTTTGCATGAATATTAATTGGTTACAAAGATGTGACGATAGCTTGATAAAAGTTGTGATGCTTAGAAAAATACAACTTCTTTTATCGTTCCAGGATTGAAGAACGTGAAACAGTAAGTGTGAGCTAGAGAGTGACATGGATCCCGGTCTAGGGGAGACAGTGTCCAGAGAGGGCCCGAATCAGACAGGCGAGGCAACTGATATGAACGAGCCAGTTAATACAGAATGTGGCAGTCCGATGCAGCAATCACCAGACCAATCCAACTTTAATGAAAATTATAGGTGATACATTATTTGATGTAATTTCTGGTATATGAAGTAAATTTATGAGTATTTACATGGGTGCAAGTTTTCAGGCATATGCCTGAAGCTCAGGTTTTTTGTGACAAATTTCATAATGCTTTACTATTAGGAAAATAATTATGAATAAAGGTTTTCAGGTTTTTCCAAATTTTCAATTTGCACCCATGTATTTAATGTCTACTTGATAATTTTTTGCAACAGGACTATTTGAGCTACTTTGGAAAAAGACCTGTGCCTTAAAAAGAAAAATTAGGCAGCATTTGAGAAATTTAAATCTGATGTTAAATAAAACCTTCAAGCATTCTCAAAAGTAAAAAGAAAATTGATCTATTTAGCAGCATTTGGGAATTATTTTTTTCTTTCTTTGAAATTGAAGAAAGGAGGTCATTTTTTGGGGGTGGAGCCTTATGGTGGATTCTGGTAAAAGGCTGAAAATGTTCTGTGCAATAAAGAATTATTAAGAAATATTTGTTTACAATAAAAGTGGCAAATTCTTTTAATGACTGATTCAAGTAAAGTTGAAGATAATCTGTGGTATTTATCTTTAAAGTCAGTGAAATTCACTTATTTTGTTAAAACTATTAAAATCAACTGAAGCAAGGTGAAGTTGATACATTGAAAAATCAATTTATCAATTTAAGGTAAAGATAAAGTAACGATAAGGCATTGCTATTTTTTATTACAGTACATCATTTATGAACTGTAAAATCGGCAATTTTTTCTTGCATTAAAAAGCAAATTACAGTTTGTCAAATGTTATGTATTATAGTAAGTTTAAGTATTTTTTTATGTAGATCGCCAGAAAATATAGATCCAACAATGGAAGAGGAATTTATGGATACAAATGAGAATAAACCAGATTCTCCTGATGTTGGCATGGAAAGTGACAATGCTGTTGACAATGAAGAGGAAAATGATTGTGAAAAAAATGAAAATAATGACAACAGTGTAGATGAGACAGAGAAAACAGATGACCATGTAACAACAGATGATCAAGTAACTGAATCAAATCAGCCTATGCCAAAGTCACCAGAAAGTATAAGTATTTCTGGTGCTGAATTAAATGAAAATATTCAAGACAATGATGATATAACTGAGCATGGGGAAGAAAAATGTTCTAATGAAGTGACAAACAATGAAGAATCTATTACAGAAAAGGAGGATGTAGATGAATCTGAATCTAATGCAGCTGAAACAGTAGAACAGGAATCTGTTTGTGAGAAAAATGAAGATGATGATATTAGGAATAATGTTGATGTAAATGCTGAAGACCTTTCAAAAACTTTTGAAGATGATAAAGATTTAGGTCAGTCAGGAGGAGATTCTTTTGACGAATCTAATTTGAAAGAAGAATCTAATTTTAGACATGAAGGTGATGATAATGATCTTCCTGATAGTGAAAGTCAATTAAATAAAGAGGAAGATACTGAAACTTTAGTGGAAAGAACACAGTCGCCAGGATCTCAGGAGGTCAGCTCTACCTCATTTGATAAAGATTTACCAGATAAGACTGATAGTGCCTCTGAAAATTTAGAAACTACTAGTGATCTTCCTTCTATTCAAGACAGTGATAGTTTTAAATTTCCTAGTGGTGGAATATTTCCAACCAAAAAGCTAGAGCATTTAAATTTAGACAGTCTTTGTGCTAAGGGGAATATGTCAGCCTCTAGTTCTGTAGACAATTTTTCAACAACTTCTTTAAAAGGTTCTACTGATAGTGATGATGATATATCAGATTTTGATCTGACTAAGCCTGAATTAGACACTTATGTTGATAGTCAGGATAAAGACAAAGAAACTCTAAAAGACCCAGTCAATGATGTTGAAAATGTTCCTAGTTCTACAAGTGACGTGTTAGATAATAGACTTGAAACAGACGAATCTGAATTGGTTGGTGGTGAAGAAAATGTGGCAGAAGGTAAAAATGTGGATAGTGCACCTGGAGAATCAGGAATGGAGGTAATTAATCTTGATAATCACATTGATATTTTCCTCACTTTAAAGAGCAGATCTGGGTCTGTCCATTTTAGAAATTTTGAATCATGCAATTAAGTTAATTTGGAAAAAAAATATATAAAATGAACTCAATTTTGGAAAAATATTTTAAAGAATAGTGATTGGGAACCATCATTTTACCTGACCTAACCAAAGAAGCAGGAAATCAGAGATAATGAACAGTGATTTTTCCCCCTGTATTTTAAAGCCGAATAAAGGCTGTTTCCCCTAGCTCAAAATAGGTATATTTTCCCCTAAAAAAGCTAATATTTTCCCCTTAAATGCCCTGTGCACTTTTTCACAAGAACCATTACTTAACAGCATCTGACGTATTATATCAGCTAGAAGACAGAAAGCAGTCCCTATAGCCTCTGCTATGTATCATGCATGTTAAATTGAGTTGAAATTGAAAATTTATAAAATGTCGTGGTAAATTCCATTCTTAGTTGTTTTTCCCATCCTCTGATTTAAAACGCTTTTTATTTTCCCCTTCAGAAAGCCACAGGTTGTTTTAAAAATTGGAAAAAAAATCACTGAATGAAAGGCTAATGTGCACACTTAAATTTGTCATTTTAGCTAGTTACTTTTTCAAATTCCACATTTAATTAAATGTTAACAACCTTTTATCTTTGCAATTGACTTGATACTAAAATATAAAGGGCAAGCTGACTTAGTAAACTTTTTGAACATGAACCTTTATTTTTTTCCCAAATGATGAATAAGGTTTAAAGAAACTGATATAACTTATGCATATTGAATTTGCTTTTAAAATATTTTATATCATAAGTCCTAAACACAACATGAATTTGTGATTTTATGTATATGAAAAGATTGCTGTATATAAGACAGATACACCTGATTACTTACGGACTTGGTTCTTGATTTAGATTCAGGAGGAAAAGCTACCACCAGTAACAGATGAAAAGAAATTAGATGACTCACTTGAAGAAGTTTCTGAGGACGAAGATGAAAACATAGAGAGAGCAGATGATGTGGTTAAGGAGGAGAAACAACAAGGTTCACTATCAGGAATGGAAGAGGTCTCTTCTGAAGAAGATGGTGAAGTTGATGATGATGATGATGATGATAAGGATGATGATAAGAATGAAAAGAAAGCAGAATCTGGTATGGAAGAGGTTTCTGAAGATGAAGAGGAAATACAACAAGACATGGGTAAAAAGGAAGAGTCTGTAATAGAATCAGACCAGAGAGTGCTTGATAAAGAAACTAAAGATGTAGAATCAGGAATGGAAGAGGTCTCAGATGAAGAAGAAGAAGGAGCTGCAGATGATGCCATTGAGAAAGAGAAAAAAGTAGAATCTGGCATGGAGGAAGTTTCAGATGAGGTAACAACTTTGCAAAAGTTTAACCGGAAAGGTTTATATGTGTAATAAATTGCACTTATAGGTCTTTGAACTTTAAAAATATTTGAGAACATAGTCCAATTATGACCTTTATATATAAAAATAATTTTATTTTTGTTTTCATTCTAGTTCAACTTACCTGTAGGTTGTAATAATTAATAGAAAAATTCTGTTAGCTTTTGAATTTTGTACCCATGCTTTTCAATTTTGCAACCATTTAAAATAATAAAAAAATAATTGATATGACCAGCTAAAAGAAGATCAATTTTATTTAGATTTAAAATATTTCAGATAACATTCATAAACATGCGTTTTTATTAGCTCACCTGTCACAAAGTGACAGGGTGAGCTTTTGTGATCGCTTTTCGTCCTGCGTCCGTCCGTCGTCCGTCCGTCCGTAAACTTTTACTTTAAATGACATCTCCTCATAAACCACTAAGCCAATTTCATCCAAACTTCACAGGAATGTTCCTTTGGTGGTCACCTTTAAAAATTGTTCAAAGAATTTAATTCCATGCAGAACTCTGGTTGCCATGGCAACCGAAAGAAAAAAACTTTAAATATCTTCTTTTAAAAAACCATAAGAGCTAGAGCTTAGATATTTGGCATGAAACATCTTCTAGTGAGTGTCTACCAAGTTTGTTCAAATGAAGGCCTGGGGTCAAAATTGGCCCCGCCCCGGGGGGTCATTGATTTTCCCTATATGCATATAGTAAAAACTTAAAAAATCTTCTTTTAAAGAACCCAAAGAGCTAGAGCTAAGATATTTAGCATGAAACATGTTCTAATGGGTGTCTACCAAGTTTGTTCAAATAAAAGCCCTGGGGTCAAAATTGGCCCCGCCCCGGGGGGTCATTGATTTTCCCTATATGCATATAGTAAAAACTTAAAAAATCTTCTTTTAAAGAACTCAAAGAGCTATGGCTAAGATATTGAGCATGAAACATTTTCTAATAAGTGTCTACCAAGTTTGTTCAAATAAAAGCCCTGGGGTCAAAATTGGCCCCGCCCCGGGGGGTCATTGATTTTCCCTATATATGCATATAGTAAAAACTTAAAATCTTCTTTGAAAAAACCCAAATAGCTAGAGTTTAGATATTAAGCATGAAACATCTTCTAGTAATGTCTACAAAGTTTGTTCAAATAAAAGCCCTGGGGTCAAAATTGGCCCGGCCCCAGGGGTGTCATTGTTTTTAACTATATGTGTATAGTAAAAACTTAAAAAAAATCTTCTTTTAAAAAGCCCAATGAGCTAGAGCTTAGATGTTTAGCATGAAACATCTTCTTATGGGTGTCCTTGGGTTAAATTGGCCCTGCAACGTTTGGGGGGGGATGGGGGTTGGGGGGCCTATATACAGGTGAGCGACCTCAGGGCCATCATGGCCCTCTTGTTTAACAATTTAAAACTGATGTCTCTTGTGAATTTTGTCTTATTGATATTGAACCATTTGATGGTCAAAAATATTTTGTCCTTTTGAAAGGAGGTAGAAAGTGAGGGTGAGAATAGTTCTGGTGTAGAAAATGTAAGCTCTGATGAGGAAGAGGAAGAACTGAAGGCAGCTGACGATGAAAAAATTGATGCTTCACGAACTGTTGAAGTGAAACAAAATGGTGAAACTGTTACTATTGATGATACAGGGAAGGAAGATGGTGCTATAGTGAAAGAAATGTTAGAAAATATGACTATCAAGATAGAAAACAGTGGTACGGAAGATAAACCTGAAGTAATTGACAAACGTAGAAAGTCTAGAGACAAGAAAGACAGGAGGGAAAGTACAAAATCAAAAACTAAGTCACATGTTAGAGACACTAGGGATATAAATGAACGTTTAAAAGCTCAGGCAAGTTACGGAGACGATGTAGAACTGGATTATGATGATACTGTACATGATGAGACTAAAGATAAACAAGCTAGTGAATCTGAAGGTGAAATAACAGTAAGTAATGTATGAAATATTATTTTGAAAATTGCCACGCTAAATTTTGACTAGCCTTACATTCAGTTAAAAAAATTCCATTTAAAGTTTGAGACGATCAGTATCAAGGGACTAACAAATATGTTTCTTGGGTTTTTATGTAACGCATAAATATTATGTGGCATTATTAAGTGACAAAGAATAAAACTTATTGTTATTTTTTAACTGGATTTTGTGTATACATTGCGTTATTTCATGTAAATACTAAAATGTTTGTCTTTCAAATTTAGAAACTTTGGTATGAGTTTTTAAACAATTATTCTGTCATTAACAAACGACATGTATCTGAAATATTGGCAATACCTGCAGAATTTGGACTGGCCCAACTGCCATTTTTAGGGGATTGTCCATGATCAACTTCTGGCATATGAAAATGAAAGTTGAAAAGTAAGTCGGCCAACACTGTAGGAGTCTGTTCAACTTCATAGATGTGCAGGCTGGCCTGGGTGCATTGGCAAATTGCTTTGGGTTTCAGCAGCATAAAAATTAAAAATATAATATTTTCAGAGTGATAGTTCATCAAGTGATGGTGAGATAGAGGAAGAGGAATGTGAGGAAGGAGAAATAAAGGAGCCCGGTCAGAGACCGTACGTTAAACCTACGTGTCGATTCTTCATGAGAGGACACTGTACCTGGGGGATCAACTGTCGTTTTCTACATCCTGGAGTCAATGATAAAGGTGAGACATGAGATTAAAAATGTGTACATTGTGCAATGATTTAAAAAAACCATCAAAAGTCACTTTTCTTACTGTCAAGCATTGAAAATAGTCGACCATGCTGTATTACAGACAGCTATTGTTGTTGTGGGTTTTTATGCCACCGCAGCATCTGCGATGCGGTGGCATATAGCGATTCACCTGTGTGTGTGTGTGTGTGTTTGTTTGTTTGTGTGTGTGTGTGTTATATAGATTATATAGTGAACTTAAAAAATCTTCTTGTAAAAAACCACTAGTCCAATTTCAATGAAACTTGGCAGGATTGATCCTTGGGTGAAGGGCTTCCAAAGTTGTTCAAAGAATTTCATTCCATACAGAAATCTGGTTGCCATGGCAACCAAAAGGAATTATAAGAATACATTTAAAAAATCTTCTTGTAAAGACCCAAAAGGCCTAGAGCTTAGATATTTTGCATAAGGCATTGTCTGGTAGACCTCTACCAAGATTGTTCAAATTAAATCCCTAGGGTCAAAATCGGCCCCACCCCAGGGGTCATTGATTTTCACTATATGTACATATAGTAAAAACTTAAAATACCTTCTTGTGCAGACCCAAAAGGCCTAGAGCTTAGATATTTTGCATAAGGCATTGTCTGGTAGACCCTTACCAATTTTGTTCAAATTATAGCCCTGGGGTCAAAATTGGCCTGGCCCTTGGGTCATTGATTTTCACTATATGTACATATAGTAAGAACTTAAAATGCCTTCTTGTAAAGACACAAAAGGCCTAGATATTTTGCATAAGGCATTGTCTGGTAGACCTCTATCAAGATTGTTCAAATAATAGCCCTGGGGTCAAAATCGGTCCCGCCCCAGGGGTCATTGGTTTTCTTTATATGTATATAGTATAAAAACTTACAGTAAAAACGTAAAAAAAATTCTAGCAATTGACAAATGCTAGAGGTTATATATTTTGCATGAAACATTGTGAAGTGAACTTCTAGCAAGATTGTTGAAATTATAGCCCTGGGGTCAAAATTGCCCCCGCCCGGGGGGTCATTGATTTTCAATACATACCTATAGTAAAATATAAAAAAAACTTATTGTCTGAAGGTACAAGGCTTAGAGCTTTAATATTTGTTAAATGATATCATCTATAGGTACTCTACCAAAGTTGTTCAAATTTTGCCTTTAGTGTCAAAACTAGTCCTGCCCTGAGAGCTATAGGTTTTCCTTATATGTATATATATAGTAAAAACTTAAAAAATCATCTTCTATAAATTAACAAAGGCTAGAGTTAAGATATTTTGCATGAAACATTATGTAATGAACCTCTGACAAGATTGTACAAATTATAGCCCTGGGGTCAAAATTGGCCCCACCCCTAGGGGTCATTGATTTTTACTATGTACATATAGTAAAAATTAAAAATTTTCTTGTCTGAAGGTACAAGGCCTAGAGCTTTGATATTTGGTATATAATATCTTCTATGGGTCCTCTTCTAAAGTTGTTTTAATTATGCCCCTAGTGTTAAAATTGCCCTGCCCCAGAGGCGATAGTTTTCCTTATATGTATAAAGCAAAAACTTGAAAAATCTTCTTCTCTGAATTGATAAAGGCTAGAGGTTAAATATTTGGCATATGATTTTGCGAAGTGAACCTTTACCAAGATTGTTCAAATTATAGCCCTGTGGTCAAAATTGTCCCCGCCCCGGGGGTCATTGATTTTCATTATGTACATATAGTAAAAAAATAAAAAATATTTTTGTCTGAAGGTTCAAGGCATTGATGCTTTGATGTTTGCTATATTATATCATCAAAAGGTCCTCTACCAAAGTTGTTCAAATTTTTCCCAAGGTGTCAAAATTGGCCCTGCCCAGGGGCAGTGATTCTCATTATGTACACGTAGTAAAAACAGAAAATAAAACAAATGTTTTCTGAATGGGAGAAAGCTACAGCTTAGATATTTGACTTGAAATGTTGTTTCGTGGACCTGTATCAAGATTGTTTTGAATTAAACTCTTGGGTCAAAAATGTTGCCTTGCCCAAGGGGACAGTGACCTACTTTCTTGTCTTTTGATGTGCAGCAATGAAATTTTGACCATGTGTACAGTTTTTGTTGTAAAATTGAACTTTGATATCAGGTGACCTAGATTTTGATGATGTGACCTACTTTCTTGTCCTTTGGTGTACAGCTATGAAATTTGAACCATGTGCACAGATTAAGATGTTAAGTGAACTTTGATTTCATCTGACCTAGATTTTGACAAAGTGTCTTACTGTGTTGTCCTTTGATGAAGTCATGAAATTTAGGCTGTGTGAAATATGACCTTCACCACCAAATTCACTAGACTTGAGTGCATTGATATATTCATACTCTGATCTATTATTGAGTTTACAATAGATTTAACCACTAATTTGATAATAAGAATAAGATAGGTCAGGGATCTTTGCATTATGACAATCTTCAAAATTGTCTAGAAACAAAACAATCTGTTCCTACACTACTATTTAGTGTTGTATTAATGCGGTGGCATAGCATTTTTCTCAAATGCAATCTTGTTTTTTGCTTAGTCTAATATCAATTTTTGGTGGGTGATGACAAAATAACAAAGTTTACTGCTGTAACTTTTCAGAGATTTACTTTCCTGAGTTAATAGGGATTGTATAAATTACTTTAAAAGTGATTGACTTAACAGTGATTGTGCACAGTTTTCTGAAAGTTGATATTATACATTTAATTTTTTTTTTTGTGACCTGAGATAAAAGTAAATTTACATATATATTTTGTAAATATCATAAATTGCAACAACTGCTATGAAAATGAAAGGGTCAGTTAACTTCCCTCGGAAATTTAAATGTTGGAGGAGGTTTTCTTGGTTTTCTCAAAGCTTTTAACATGGTGAAAAGTGAAGCTTTTGGACAATATATTTGTTTAGGCACTGTATGCAATTTTTCTGTGTTGATTAGGTAACTACCAGTTGATAGAAAGACCAGGATTTAACAACAAACCACCACCACCATTTGAGGAGAAATGGGAGGAAGAAGAACCAGAAGTTAGTATACAAAAATTGAGCCACGTCATGACAAAACCAACATAATGCGTTTGCGACCAGCATGGATCCAGACCAGCCTGGGCATCCGCGCAGTCTGATCAGGATCCATGCTGTTTGCTTACAAACCCTATTACAAGTAGAGAAACTGATAGCAAACAGCATGGATCCTGATCAGACTGCGCGGATGCGCAGGCTGGTCTGGATCAATGCTGGTCGCAAACGCATTATGTTGGTTTTGTCGTGACGCGGCTCAAATAGTTTATGTTAGGTGTTTCTTTTACAAATCTATTTGATGTGTCAATTTGAAACTTCCTAGATGGTTAGATCTCATTGACAGGAAGTGCAGTGCCTAAAAACCATAACTATTTTAAATAATTTTGGAGTGATTGCCTTTTATAAAAAAATGTTTTGGATTAAGCATATTTGGTGTTTTTACTAAAAAAAATGTAAATTTACTTTTGTTATGAAAGTTTTTGTCACAATTTAAAAAAAAAACTTTCTAAAAAAAATTTCATGAAATTAAAAACTGGTCATTCAAAAAAAAAAATTCTTTATCTCAAATCAAAGTGTTTTGTAATTTCTTTTGTTACCTGTCAGCATAAAAATCTGAAGCAATCATATATAATTAATTATCAATAATTTATTTATAGAGATCACCAACACCAGAGCCCCCACCCCCTCCACCAGAACCCAAGGAGGAGACAGCCTGGGAGAGGGGACTAAGACAGGCCAAGGAAGTATGTATAGTTATTATAAGTTATAAGTATCATTTTGCTAGATTTAGTAGACCCTGAAAATGATAGATAGAAAGTTAGATGGTTCACAAAATAGGTTTTATCAGTCATTGCTCCTTTCATTTGTCATACATGAATGTCTGATTTTATCAAGTTTCATTTTTTAGCATTTCATTTTGATTGAAATACAGTCAAACCTGAAGTATAGACCACCGTAAAGTGGGACATATAGAAAAAGTCATAATAGAGGTCAATAGAAACATTGGAGGTCAAAGGTTTAGTTCCAAGTTTGACCTTTTGTATTACAAAAGTACCTGTTTGGAGAGACCATTTCTAAACAAGAACTTTCTTTATTCCTTAAGACTGGTCTCTGTGGACATGTGTGACTACTTTTGTAAAATAAATTGCATATTTTAAAAACCTAATCTGTCTTTTTTTTACTGTACTTTAATGAAAGTCTTAGAAAAATGTTTTTTCAAACTTTAAACATTTTGTATATTTTCCTGTATAGTTAAGAAAGAAGGCATTAGAGAGGAGAGAAATGGAGACAAACTTTGAGCACAAGAAGATGAACCTTTCTATAGAGGATAATCCGGAATATGACAAGGAGAATGTAGACGAAGTGCTGGAAAAATCACCAAAAAAATCTCCAGTTAAAAAGACACCATATTATGACAAATATGAGTATGTATAGATTGCATGGATTTTTTTTATGATGTTCAAAGAAACATTAATTTTTTCTTCGAATTTTCATCATGAGATCAAATTTCAAAAGAATAGTGGGTGGGTCACCCAGGATCTTCCTCCACCTTTCAAGCTTTGAAGTAACTGCTTGACTTTAACAGTGTCAGAATGATTTGACTGTTAACCTTCTGAAACAGAAAGTTTAAGTGATTTCCCTTTGCTATTGTTATAGAGTCAATATATCTTGCACATTTATGCAATCTGACTACGCTCTATACTGTTGCCTTGCTTTGTATATCGAAATGACTGTTCCAAATTCAAAGAAGGGCAAATATGTTCAAAAATTCAGGAGGTTGAAAGTTAAAATCCAAGTGAAAATAAAATCATGGTAATCAATTATCTTACAGACCATTGAGTGACGATGAATATTATGACCAAACACCAATGAGGTTACAACAGAAACAGATGGAGCAAAGCTGGATGTCTGGTCAGTACGAGAATTTTGAGGTTCACTGGACCCAGGACCAGTACGGTCCACCACAGGGAGCATACCCGCAACAGATGCCACGGTATCCATACCAACCTGATCAACAAATGAGGGTATGTAAATTTTATACAAGCAAAATGGTTTTAAGTTCCTGTAAGGAAAGTTCAATATAGAGGTTGTTGACTTCAAACCCTCACTACAGTACAGTGGGTTTGAATCCCATAAGGGAATCTTTTCATGTGTGGAAGCTATCCAGCTAGCTTGGGAGACATAGGTGGTCATTTGTGCCTGAAAAAATTCATTGAGGGGAACCTGTTTTCTTTATACAAGCAAAATTGTATAAGTTCCTTAAAAAAACCATCAATATTGATTCACAGCGGAATAAATAATAATGAAAAATGGGATTTATTTTGCATAATTCCTATTTCTGTTTTGTTTCTTGGTCATGCAATAACAACTAAGTACATGTAGTATTGTTGGTATTTGTAAAAAAAAAGAGATCTACCGTATTAGCATATTTCTAAGGTATAAAATTGGGTAAGATAATTTCGTAAAACATGTCATATGCATGAGTAAGTCTTTTCAAATCATATTTGGATGAATAACACAATTTCTGTTAAGTTAAATGCATTTGATAATTGATATTAAATAATTAATGTAATATTGCCAACATATTAAAAAGATATTTGAACAACATTTTGTGGATAGAGTATGTTATGAAGTTAACTGTGTATTTGTATATTTCAGAACCGAGATAGAATGCCATTAAGACCGTCACCACGGCGATACAGCATGTCACCACCACCAAACCATCATCAGAGGTAATTGATAACTTTTGATAATGTCCGAATAAATAAATCTGATTTTACATCACTTCTTAATGCTACGTTTTCTATAGACATTGATCAGAAGTAAATTAAAATTTCTTTTAGTTTTATAAATTTGTACTTGTCTTGGGGCATAAAAATAATCATAATACCATCATAATTATATAAAATGAAATTGGGTATTATCATATTTCTTAATTTGGAATTGGGTATAATGCAAATAATATATTGCCAGGTCTTGAGTCTGTAACTTATTTCCCTTTTATATTTATAGACAAATGAGGCCGCCGCCACAGCGAGAACCACAGGAAATGATGCGACGAGATAAGATGAGGGAACAGCGTATGACTCCCCCACCACAGAAACAGAGGCCACCTGGTGGTCCAGGCCGTCCAAGAGCAGATGACTGGAATGATCCATGGACACGAGCAAATGCTGCAAAGTAACATATATTTATAATTATATTTGTGTTGAATGAATAAGATTAAATGTATCACAGAGAAGTGTGGGGTAGAGGGAATTTTGATAGTTACTTATTAATTAATTACATTGCAAATGAAAAATTTGTGTGCAATATATTCCATATCCCAAGAAACAAGGCCTACAAATTTTTACTTGTTTAGAAAAATACAGTGAATGATATGAAATATAATATACTGGTTAATTTTCCAAAGTCTCAAATAAATGTTTAACATCATGATAACATCTGCAACTTTTGTTATTTGAAATATGAACAGATTATAAAACAATGTGAAATTACGATCCCCTCCCCTTGTTTGAATAATGAAAGTGAAAAAATTGAATTGTGTTAGTAATTGTATGCATTATGAAATAAGAATTATTGACCTTTCATTTTCTAGGGGTAAATCTCCGAAGAAGAGAAGTAGGTCACGAGGTCGTCGGCGTTCAAGACGTTCCCATAGTTACTCCTCATATTCCTCAAGGTAAAGTTTTACAGTGTCTTGGCTCCCCCCCCCCCACATATATAGACATGACCTTGACCGTATATCTATACCTATATATAGGGCCTCTGATGCCAAGTGGTTGTGTGGCTGCCTTCATCACGGCTGTGGGTTGAAATCTTGTTAAGAACTTTTGTTTCTTTCATATGAGGACCCTACCCTGTATAATCCAGGTAATTTACTGAAGGTTAATTGTTCTACTCAGGTGCATTTTCATGCTTGAATAATGCTCAGACGGGCACCTGATGTCTTTTTCCACAAGTAAAGCTGGAAAGGTGCCATATCACCTTCCATAGTGTCATTCTGATAGTATACCAAACTATCTTAACAAATTATATCATGGTTTGAAAATATTATATATCTACATCGTACATGTTGCAATCACACTTGATTATAATGTTTATTTTTTAGCTCGACTATTCGATAAGAATAAGTAGAGCTATTGCAGTCACCCGAGCGTCGGCGTCCGCGTCGGCGTCCGCGTAACCACTTATGTTAAAGTTTTTGTAATAGTTCAAATATTTTCAAAGTCCATTGACATATGGCTTTGAAACTTTGCACACTTGTTCACCATCATGACCCCAACCTGTAGACAGGAGGAGGTAACTCTATCAAGCATTTTGACAGAATTATGCCCCTTTTTCGACTTAGAATTTACGTTAAAGTTTTTGTAATAGTTCAAATATTTTCAAAGACCATTGACATATGGCTTTGAAACTTTGCACACTTGTTCACCATCATGACCCCAACCTGTAGACAGGAGGAGGTAACTCTATCAAGCATTTTGACAGAATTATGCCCCTTTTTCGACTTAGAATTTACGTTAAAGTTTTTGTAATAGTTCAAATATTTTCAAAGTCCATCGACATATGGCTTTGAAACTTTGCACACTTGTTCACCATCATGACCCCAACCTGTAGACAGGAGGAGGTAACTCTATCAAGCATTTTGACAGAATTATGCCCCTTTTTCGACTTAGAATTTACGTTAAAGTTTTTGTAATAGTTCAAATATTTTCAAAGTCATTTACATATGGCTTTGAAACTTTGCACACTTGTTCAACATCATGACCCCAATCTGTAAACAGTAGGAGGTAACTCTATCAAGCATTTTGACAGAATTATGCCCCTTTTTCGACTAAGAATTTACGTTAAAGTTTTTGTAATAGTTCAAATATTTTCAAAGTCCATTGACATATGGCTTTGAAACTTTGCACACTTGTTCACCATCATGACCCCAACCTGTAAACAGGAGGAGGTAACTGTATCAAGCATTTTTTTTACTATCAAGCACTAAGAATAGTCGAGCATTGCTGTCCTACCGACAGCTCTTGTTTGTCAAGGACTTTACATGATCTTAGTTTTGTATGGTAGTATTGTATAAATTTATTGTCAAGAAATAAAATGTTATAAATAATAATTCTAAAGAAAATTACTTTACATTGATGAATTTTGATTCATTTAGGTCTTTTAGAAAACAGGTGAAAAGTTTATGTAAAAAAAAATAATTATGTGAAAGAAATTTTTGTTGAAGTTATACTGTGTATAATGTGTTATATATGTCAATTTTATGGTATTGATGTAAAAAAGTAGGTCAAGATACTTGGAAGCCAGACCTAAGGTGAGATTAGATTTTGCATCTTCTAAATTGAGCCTTACACTTTAAGGGGAAAAAAAGTTTGTATGAAATAACAGTAATAATATCATTAACTTCATTCTGGTGCCATAATATTATGTACATGTTTGTTTTTCCAGTTCTTATTCAGGGTCATCAAGGTCAAGGTCACGATCATCATCATATTCCTCGATATCGAGTCGTTCCAGTAGTAGATCTTCTATCAGCAGGTATTTTGCTTTACTTTTTATCTTTCAATTACTTTTTCAACATGGTCTTTTAGGCCTTTTGATGGTTGGGGTGTATTTCGAATGGAAAATTGTTTCATTATTTTATTTGTCCTGTGCAGTGACAGTATAATGTTACATGACCTTGTATCCTTTAACTCCAGCCACTGTGTCATTAGCCGGATATTGAATTGAAGCAGTAATGCAATGTTGGTTATTGTGCTGGCAGCTACAGTAAAACATGATTGTCAATTTTACCCTTAAATTTCTTAACTTGCCCAACTTCATTTTTGGAACTGTCCATATCAATTATGACGATATTCAGATGAAAAATGGAAGATGGGCAGCCACTAGTATAGAGACTGGTCAGACTGCATGGACATCCAGTGATCAGCCTTTGTCATCACTTGTTTATTAGGGTAACAGTTAAGCACTGTAGCAAAGTAGACATCGTTGTCAGTTTATTTAAATATGGACAAGGGTGACAGAAAAATCATCTATCCTGTTTTGGCGCCATATGACCTAAACTGTGTTGGTGCACCGTAAAACAAAACAAACTGGCAGGAAAATCAAAATACCTTTGATATATTGTAGATCGCGGTCACCTGGTCCTAGGCGTGGTGGAATGAGGCGACCTCCTGTCCCTGGAGGGAATCAGCCAGTACGAAGACCCTCGGCTCAAGGGAAACCAAAGTAAGATATTAAATTTCTTTTGTTTTATATGTAAGCAATTGTGTATTATTCTTTAGAGGTTACATTTTGGAGAGTCATGGTTTCCTTATTTGGGCAAATTATTAGATTAATAGTAAATATTTGGTCTGTTAAGTATAATTCCAATTAGGTTTCAACTTGACTGTGAGGTAGCTAGACAGATTGTTCAATTCTTGGTTTTGTTTTTATCAGAGATAATTAAATTTATAGATATGATAATGTGACAAGTATAATTAAGTAATGATATCGGTCTCGTCTGTGTTTATCAACTTCTTTCACCAGTTTTGAGGAGTGGTTATTTTTTGCATCAAAACAACAAAACCAGTGTTAAATAGCCGATAAACAGGGCTCAGACCATAATTATTTGATTTAAATAATATAAAATAAGAGAGATCACTTACGATATTTTTTCAAGCGGAGATAAGTTCTGCTGCAAAGGAATAATAGAAAATATATTTAAAGACATTTTCTACAGTTTTATGAAAATTTAATCCTTTCATAGAATTTTCTTAATTTTTTGCATGATAAGTAAGATTTAATGGCGAATTCAAAAATAAAAAGAAAAACATATGTTGACGTGTTGGATTTCTTGTAAAATGGCAGTTTCCATGGTAACCATATATCTAAAAACTGTTAATATAGCCAAAGTGTGTTATAACAAATAGAAAATGTATAAGATAGCTTAATACACACAACAAGCAATGTTTTATGCAAAGATAACCTTATCCAATGATTCTGTATGAAACAAACTATAATCTAAACATATTTCTTAAAAAAAACGAGTTTTCCGTGATCCTTAACTGAACAAAAAATGAGAAAAATAAACATGAATTCTGCGAATAATTAAAGATATTGAAAAATTTGTTTCACAGGATTTTCAAATTTTGTTGTATTTTGTGTAAAATTTAATGACAAATTCAAAAATTAAAAGAAAAATATATGTTGGCGTGTTAGATTTTTTGAAAAATCAGGGCTTTTTCACTAGTTTTGGGGAAGGCGCCCTAGCCCTTTTTGTGGGGAAAAAATGCGCGATTTCCACACATTTCGGGGGAATATCATAATTTATTTGCATATCTTCCTCCAATCACATTTAAGGTTTACTGTAGTACTAAGCTTTCTGTCCAACAGGAGTAAAAAACATTTTTTACAGATCAATTTATTGACCCTTTATATTAACTCATATTTCCTATTTATAGTATTTTATGTTGGTCATGTGAGGGTTCTTGGTTTGATTCAGAGGGTACATTATTATCAGTTTACACTGTATTACTGGCACTGATGTGCTAGGCTCGCTATTTCCGACAGTTGGGCATGTTGTGCTACTCGGACACAAGGTCATCAATTCATCCAATTTTTAATAAACAATTACAAACGTCACTCAATCGTATTTTCTTCTTGTTCTGTGACATTGTTTACATTAGTGACATCGTATCGGTCGCCATATTGTCGTAACAAATCACATGTGCACTAAAAAATAAGGCAGCAGGGATTTCCCATGCTGTTTTTAGAAAGTTGCAAACTCAGACTGAGGCTCTGAGTTAACATCAATTGTATTAAATCAAGGTATCCCTCTATTGGGTTATTGAATTATTAGCATTCATTGGACAAAACAATTATCTATTTTAAAACAAGAAAGTTTCTTTACAAGTTTTATTCTTAAGTTAAAGGGGAAATATTTGCCAGAAGGGGAAATTTAGACTGTTTTTTGGGGAAAAAAGGTAGTAATTTGGCTTGGGGAAGTAGCCTGATACAGGCTACAGCAAAGAAGGGGAAAAAGGCCCTGAAAATGGTAGTTTCCATGGTAACCGTAAATCTCAAAACTGTCAAAATAGCCAAACTGTGTTATAAAAATGTACAAAACAGCTTATTACACACACAATAAATATATTTTCAAACAAAACTTGCTTTATCTAAGGGTTCTGTATAAAACAAACGATAATCTGAAATTCTGTAAAAAATGAGTTTTTCATGCTTTTTATAAACTGAACAAAAAATGAGAAAAATAAACATGAATTTTGTAAATAATTCAAGCTATCAAGAAATTTCTTTCATAGAATTTTCTACATTTTTAATAAGTCAAGTAAAATTGTATGGTGGATTCAAAAATAGAAATAAAAATGTATGTTGACATGTTAGTTTTTTTGTGTAAACGGGCTGTTTCCATGGTTACAGCATATGCCAACTGTCAAAATTACCAAGCTTTCGTAAGAAATATCAGTGTTATACTAAATGCATTGTCATATATACAACAAAAACAAGTTGTATTATAAATTTCTATTTCTTTTGATGTTTTATTAAGTAATGATACTAAATATGTTTTTAGAACAGGTTATAAATTAAGGCCATATTATTTCTTCGACGGACTAACATACCCGAACAGTAAGCAAATAATCAGAAATTTACAAAGAAAATAATGAAAATCGATATTATTTTGTTTTTTATTCAACGTTTATTTAATATATCATTTTAAACGTCTTTGTCCACTTGTCTGCCAGTAATCAAGTGGCAACGCACTTTCGTCATTATACCACAAGTGGGTGGGGTAACGCGCGCAGAATCATCATCAATGCTGTCATACTAATGCTAGGAGAAATCCTTTATCTGATGTTGTCTAAACGTTCTCTTATTCTTTTGAATCGATTTCCTCCTGAACATTTAGAAATATCTATTTTGTATTATTTACTGATTATTTGCTTGTGGCCGAAATTTAACAGTTATCCGAGTACTATTAAACTTGACCTTCTTTTTGAAGAGTAATTATTGGTGATTATCTTTCTTGGATGGGCATAACGATGCGCACAAAAAACTACCGAAAATGTCTTTAACTAATCTTTCAAGAATTATTTTATCAATTTTTCAACAATTTTAAAGTGACTAGTCAGACTGAATTGTATTGTGTTTACATCGATGCTGGATTTATCATCCTGCAAACCCTACACATGTCAGTTCGAAATGATGTCATTCTGGCACCTATATGAATGAGTTGCTTACTTAGGATAATTTTATTACACAGCTCACAATTAGCGCAGATTCTTTTTTATATAAATTTTATCTACTGATATGGATAAAACCTGTGGCGTTAGTGTTTATGAGATGTTATTTTAGCAATATTAAAGAAAACATAATAGAACAGAAAATATCAAAAAAAATAATGTGTTATTATTGTTGCCTTAAAAAAACCTTGCTAATTAATTTCATCTGAGGGAGAAAAAACAAACAAAAAAACTGCCACATATACATAGTCCCTTACCAGTGTTTTTTGGCAGTTAAAACACTGTTCCTGTTTCATAACTATTTGCAAATTGTTCATGGTTAGAATAGATTTCTAGTGGAGTTCTTATTTTTTCAATGATTGAAGATATTTTATATGTACAAACCTTTTCCTTTACTACAGAATTGTTAATATTTACATATGTTCAATTTTGTCTGCTTCATAATTTACATAGAAAATCAGTGGAGAATTACTGGTGATGACAAATGTAAATCTGTATTCAGGCATATTTGAGGTAGTTTTTAAAACTACTTTTGTATAAATATATAATTTGTCTAAAAGGAATCATATTATGATTTTGCAGCGAACCACCACCAAGAAGTTCAGTCACGGTTCACGGACGTGGAGGTAGACCTGGTCATGGTGATAGACCTGGTGATAGACCAGGTGATAGACCTGGTGATAGGCGTCCTGGTGGAGCTCCGAGACCTGGCGGTCTTCCAAGTTCTCCATCTAAAGGAGCACGTGGAGGCCCTCCAATGCAGGGAAGACATCCTCCTAGTCGGCAGCTGTCTGGGAAACAGCCCCCTAGCAGGTCATTAGGTCAACAGATTGCTGATGTTGGTAGAGGAAAGAGACCCCCACAAAAATCAGCTCCTCCCCCATCCCAACCCCAAAGGTAGGTAAAAAAAACAAACTTCAAAATGTATTTTACATTCTTGCATTGGCAATATGTGCCTTTGTTGTGTTGAATTGCAGTCAGATCTATCTCATGCTTTTATTCTATTTCATTGCATGAATGCTTTTCTGTGTGTAATTTATGGCAAATTTTGAATATATGTACATCATAGGGAGTACCCAAAATCTGATGGAATTGGAACTAGTTTTACTACGGGTAATAAGGAATCTCAAAAATATTAGAACTATATTGATAAAAAGTGTATCAAAAGTTTTATGTTATATTCATTGCATAAATTTCTGAATGGTTGACTTAATTTATCATCGTTCCAAAATACATTGTACTTCGTCCCCAAATATGCCTTCTTGACCCACAGGTTTGAAAATGTTTTTGGTATATTTTTCTGAGAGGGTAAAAATTTCTAGAAAAAGATGTATTATGAATTTAGACACCAAAGAAATTGGCATCTGGAACTCATCCTGGTAAGTTTTTTAACAAGGGAGAAATGCCTGATAATAAATTGTGCACTGTTGTGTTTTTGTGTGTATACCATGTAATAATGGATGCTTGATGCTTTCCCTTGCTTTATGTGTTTTCAGAAAATTCCAGATGGCAGTTAAAACTAGAGACAGGTAAATTATTCATACACTTAGTTGTTACATAGCAGTTTATGCTAATAGACTTAACAAAAACTCACTTGTAGACATAGTAGTTTATGGACCACTGATATACAAGTTAGAGTACCTGGCATAGTGCATGTTTTTTCTGTCTGTGACAAGCTGTTTATGGAAGATTTGTGTGGAGATGTTGTCAGTTAATTGTGGAGATGTTGTCAGTTAATTGTGGAGATGTTGTCAGTTAACTGTGGAGATGTTGTCAGTTAATTGTGGAGATGTCAGTTAATTGTGGAGATGTTGTCAGTTAATTGTGGAGATGTTGTCAGTTAATTGTGGAGATGTTGTCAGTTAATTGTGGAAAAAAATGATTAGTACTGGTGCATAATCTAGGAATACCAGTATGTAGACAGCTAAACACAAGTTAGGTAACTGCCAAACTTAAGTTAGGTGACTGCCAAACACTAGTTAGATGAATGCCAAACTTAAATTAGGTAACTGCCAAACTCTAGTTAGATAAATGCCAAACTCTAGTTAGGTAACGGCCAAACTTAAGTTAGGTGTTTGCTAAACTTTTGTTAGATAACTGCCAAACTCTAGTTAGGTAACTGCCAAACTTAAGTTAGGTATGTGCCAAACTCTAGTTAGGTAACTGCCAAACTTGTGTTAGGTATCTGCTAAACTCTAGTATGACAACTACCAAACTCTAGTTAAGTTATTGCAAAACACTAGTTAGGTATCTACCAAAGTTTAGTAAGATAAATTTCAAAAATTAGTTTAGTAATTGCCAAGCACTAGTAAGGTATCTACCAAACTTAGGTTAGGTAACTGCCAAACTGCCAGCTGGTATTTTACTGAAATATTTCAACTACAAAACAATCAGATTTTTTTTCAGAAAAAAAAACTTGAAAACGGATAAGAAATAATATGAAAAAGAAAACTTTTGCTAGCCAAGTGAAGGGCATCAGAACTTATGCACATCTTTTCTTCTAAGGAATATATTTTGGCATGCATGAACAATGTTTGTTAAATTTATTTTCTTGTAGCCTATTGTTTTTGTCACCAAGTGATTTTTAATGCCCTTGAATGTAGTATTTAATCACAGTTCAAGACTTTTCATATTCAAGTATGAATAAGTAAACACATTTTTTTAAAAGGCAATGTATACTTAATACTGTTGATTTGAATTCTGTACTTGCATCCACATAAATTTATATTAAGATTAGATTTCTTAGGCATTCTTAAAGATTTCAGATTATTTGTTTAATAATTGTGTAAAGTACATTTTCTAGAAATTCTGTTTCTCATAGTACAGCACATGTATATAATGGCATATTCATATATATTAACAAAATCATTGCTAAACCTTCTAAAAATAATGTTTGAATATTATTTTTAGAAAGTATTATATTTTATTCAGTTTTCATATATTCATGTGCTTTAAATAACAGAGACAATTTTTGCGAAATGTTTTCCAACCCATATCATTATATGAAGTTTTGGAATTTTTATGTCCCCACTTAGAGTGATGGTGAATGTGGATTTGTCCTCCCACCGTAGACTAACATAACAGTGAAATGTTGGGGCATCAGTGTCTTATAGACACATTTTTCTGTAACAGTGTTTCATTTAGCCTGTCTAAGCTGTCATCATTCCTGTTTCGGTGCCATATGACCTATACTGTGTTGGTGCGCTGTAAAACCAAACAAACAAATTTGACACCCTTGGATCATTATAGAATTGAATACAGTGATATCAGTATTGGTAAGACTATTTGCAAGTTTATTTTCATTGATTTCAGGCCTTTACCTCAGTCAGCGCTGACAAAAGATAAAGGGAAACCTTCATCAGGCCCAGGGTAAGTTGATTCTAGCAATTTACTGTTTTTTGGTGATGTTTATGCTAAGTTAACCCATTACTTCATGAGCATTTTGTGAAAAATGGCTGTTTTCATTGAAAAGTCTCCCGTTACAAGTTCAAATTGCTATAATACTAAAAAAACTGCTTCAACACTAATCAAACTTGGCACAAATGTTGACTGGACCATTGCACTTGCAACAACATGCTCAGGCTTAAATTTTCTGTTACCATGGCAACGAGGGGACATCTCAAAATTGCCAAAAATCACTATTTTGCGTTGATTTTTTCCATCAAAATTGATTTCAAAGTGCTGCACTTTCTCAATGGATTGAGATAGAGTCAAATGCTTTTCAGCGTTGGTTACACGTTACCTTATGATCAATCTGGGGTCATTTACAGCCTCTCACAAGTCCAAAATTTTTCTTGGCGATGAGGGGGACTTCGCCCCCCTTCAAACCCCCCAAACAGAAGGGGGCACATCCCCCTTCTGGCAACCCCCTGGTGTATCTTTTGGTTGGGGGGCCGTGCCGAAAAAGAGGTCACTTTTTTTAACAACATTTCTCAAACAAAAACAAGTGTTGGGGGCCTAAATAAGGCATGTTTTCATCATTTGAGACAACAAAAAGGGGGGGGGTGAAAAAGGCGTTAAAAGGCGTGTATATGAAGTAATGGGTTAAAAGATTGTGAATGCTAAATTTCATTCATTTGTTCTTTCCTGTTATGTTTAAAGCAGCTGAAAAAAAGGTGAAAAATATAAATTGCTTTTCAAATACTGCCTTAAATACCATCAATAAAAAGAAAGAAAATGCAGAAAAAGAAGTTCTAGAAAATGCATAAAAAGAAGAACCGAAGATGTTCATAGTTTATGAAAGATGTACTATTAGTTATACAATTTGCTGACTGAATAAATGGGAGAATATAGCCTGAATGAACATATATGACCAAAGTGGCTGATATAATTTTCAAGAATTTTATATTAAAAAAAAATCATTATTATAATCCTTGGTATTGCAGGGAGAAGACAAAATTTTACTTTGCTTTTAAAAGCATAAAATAAAAGTTAATTTGTTTTGCTTGTGACATCATTATTTTGAAATATATTGCCTGTTTTCAGAGCACGTAAACGTAAGACAAGTAGTTCAAGTAGTAGAAGTAGGTCAAGAAGTCGGTCATCCTCTTCGTCATCAAGATCAAGTTACAGTAGTCGCTCTAGTTACAGTCGCAGCCGTAGTCGCAGCTCATCGACAAGCTCTAGTGGCAGCGCGGACTCTGACCATCTGTATCGCAACATCGGTGCTAGTCGTGGTAATCAGAAACCAGCCCCACCTGGTAGGCCAAATCCTGGTGAGTAAATTTGCTATATTTGTTTGATAGTTTATTGAATTTAAATTTGAAGAGCATAATGCACCCTGTGTTCATTTCTTAATTCAAACAATGAAAATGGATTTCAATTAGACTTCTTAAATGTAATTTGTATAATTGGGTATATCTTATGGAAAATTTATTTCGATAATTTTATAGTCATTCCCATAAATGTTTTTGTTCTTGGTTGCCTGAATATGTTCTGTAGTTTTTCTTTTTGTCTCATATTTCACAAATTGATTGTCATTTAGAGATTCTGTTTCTCCTTTAGATATTTTCTTGTTTATTTCTTACAAATCACTGGCTGGAATTCAGTATAACTGGCCACAGTATGAACTTACTAAAATACACATACATTTGAATGCTTTTTGAAATGAAATTTAAAATAAAAAAGAACATTTTTATTTAACAGGTGCAGTTAAACAAGGACGAGGACCTCCAGGGGGCAGGCCAGGTCAAGGTCGTCCAAGTTTGAAACCCGGAGAGACTAGTAGGCCATCATCACTAGCTCAAGCCAAGGTTGTGAAAGATCCACTCAAAATGACTGGACTAAAGTCTAACATCAAACTTACACTTATAAAGGTATAAATGTCTGTTTAATCCTAACTCTGCTCAAGTTGTATAATAAACATTTAATTTAATGAAGAAGAGTTCATGCATAGTTTGGAGGTTTTCAGTATCAAAATATAAGAAGTAAGCATGTAACTGTACAGAGTTTGTTCAGACTGCAAGGGTGTGCATACTTGCCTGACTTGAACGTGCCATACTGGTGACATTTGCCACTAATAATCTCAATGGTAATAGATATTCTCAAAGGTGAAATGTTGCAAGACTAATCCCAGTTTTGTCTCGGCTTAACATAAGTTAGAGGTTTTCAGCCTTTCGGGGGTCATTTGGACAAATGCATTACTTTCCTTAACAGGGTTTTATAAACAGAAATTAAAAGATTTTTAACCAGTATTTATTTTATAATTTGTTTAATACTACATTAAACAAAAAAAAAGAAATTTACTAAATTTTCTCCATGTAAGATGGTAACTAAGGTATTTATCCTCAATTTCTCAAACATTTTCACATTCATAAATATGATTCTGTTTTCTTTCATTTTGATAGCCAAGTGAGAAGCCCCCACCAGGGTCTATACCCGAGCCTGTCAGCAGAAAGAGGCCAGCAGAAGCAGAGGGAGATGCTCCACCACAGAAGAGGCCGGCTGCTCCCAACCCTCCCAAGATGGGTAAGAAATATATTGTGTTCTCAATGTCAGAATTGAAAATATTTCAAACAAAATTGCAGGAGAAAACAAAAGTTTGTACATTACTCTGTTTAGTTTAAAAATATAAATATGTAACTAATGTCATTATGATAATAATTAGAGATTGGTGATAATTTTGAATGCAATAATGGTAATTATGAAAATATAGAATAAGTTATTCAACTAAGTAATAATATTGATTTGTTACAATTTAAAAAGTTGAATACTATTTGTTTCATATATTCTGTAAACATCTTTCAGATAAACCAGTCAAAAAGCCAGACAAACCTGCACCAGTTTCACCTACCAAGGCCCCTGGACGACCCCCCGGGCCGGCTAAACCTGCCCCTGGGGCCTCTGCACCACCTGCTGCCACTGCTGCTGCTGCACCGGCAGCTGTGAAGAAGAAGAGCACAGTGTCCAGAAGAGAAGAACTTCTGAAACAATTGAAGGCCGTTGAAGATGCTATTGCCAAAAAGAAAAAGAAAATGGGTTGAAAGGATAAAGGAATAGAACAGGAATTGGATATACAATTTGATAAAAAGGAAAGTATTAGAAATATAGGGCAGTCGTGACCCTTGCCACAGAGAATAGTAATATTCTAAAGATAAATGAAATGGGAAATATAGTACAGTAACTGACTGAGTGTGGATTTGATCTAGTACATTGTGGAATTATAGATTCATAGTATATAAGTTAGTTTGTGCTGGTTACAAGGTGTGAGAAGAGTTATGGACCATCGAAGAGGAGTAAATGATGGTAGAGTATCACAATGGTATAGGAAAGTGTCTCAGAAAATCCAGTTCAAATTGGAAATGGCATTATAACATTTTTGTTTGTTGACATAATGTGGAAACAAAACATGCATTTATACAAGTCAAAAGGTGAAACAGACTGATATATTCAACAGCATGTGTTGAATTAGTGAAGTCAACGAAAAGTTTATCCAAACTATATGACACTGTCTGCCATTTTGGTACATTTGTACATGTATATAAATGTAAGATAATGACAGTGTAAATACGATTATAGGAAATGAAATACTATTTTACTTTTGTTAATTATGATTTTTTATTACATTCAGATATTATTTCGTTTATATTGTAGTAGCAATTTTGTCCAAGTGTGAATTGTTTCAACATTTCTTAGTTATATTACATTTAATTACTATTGAAAGTGCTGATTATGTAGTGTCCAATCTGTGTTATAATGACAACAAATTTTTGCCATCAGTGTATGTTCAGGCCAGCAGGTGCAAATCTGATCACACCCTATACTGTGGTGCTTAATAAGTTTTAATATATTGAAAGCTGAGATCCCTTTTAACTGCTAATGGACTGTTCCAAAATTAATTTAGGGCAAGTCCATTACTCAAATTAGCGGAGCAAAAGTAATTTAAGTGCAGTTTATATAATTTTGTACAAGTTCAACAATTTACGTAGCATAATGAGTTTACTTTTGCAAAAAGAAGATAAAAATGTTTAAATTATTTACATTGACAAAAAAAATGACATGGTTGATCTATAGAATTATTGCATGCAAAAAAGATAAGCAAAATCTTTTTGAATAACATTTAAAGTGATTCAAATTTAGTCTGTTTTTGTACTGGCCAATTAATTTAATAGGTTTTAATCCCAATTAACATATCAGAAAAACACTATATACAGGTTATTCTACAGTTGATAAACTGTAAGAAAAAAACTTTAAAAGTATGAGTTTGCCTGTATAGTTAAATAGTTAAAATTTAATACATTTTATAGATCATGTTTAAAATTAATTATATTTTCAGAGGGGAAAAAGCTAGATAGTTTTAGAATTACCCTAGTTAACAGGGTGATTTTCTTCTCTAGTTCTTATCTGTTATGTTTGCTCATTTTATAATGTAACATTATGGTACACCATGTCATGTATATATATGTCAGTTTAGTACAAATAAATTGATGCTAAACTCATATTGAACTTTTGTTTTTATTTAATAATGATCTTAACTTCTTTGATGTTTTTGCTTCAAAAAATAAGGTGTTGGTTAATTTGATTGTCATACAGTAAGTACTAGTAAGTGATATGACATTTAAAGTCAACATGATTGTCGATATCTGTAAACAAAGTGATCCCTTGAAAGCATTAAAAACAGCAAAATTGCATGAACATTGCAGACTCGGTTTGATTGAGCCTGTACTGCATGAGGGATAATGAAAAAAGTGCAACATCCCTCACGCCCCAAAGCACCGCCTTGAGCTGTACTCAATTTTCTTAATAGTAGTGGACTCGATGACCCCGAAGGACTAGAAAAATTTTATACTGTAAATTTCAACATTTAAAAGTGAGCACTTCCTGCAGGAACCACTCTAGCTGTAAATGGTCGTTTTATGCTATGAAGCTTCTGAATTCTTTTTTTCTGAAAATAATTTAAGTATAAAACTTATATGAGGGGCTCTAGATGACAGTTTGTTCTTTTGTCATATTTGTCTCTTGATTTCAGCTCTCAAGTTTATCTTGTTTATTTCAGCTCAAGTCTCCTGAAAAATTAAGTTGTGCAACTTTTCCACTTGTTCACATACTCTCGCGCACGCACACACTTAATTTAACCTTAACATGGGTGATGAATATGTTTCCAGGATAATGTCGCACACAATATAAAAGGTTTCTTTAATCTTATGAGCGAATACGTGCTCGGAGCCACTGAAATGGACGCGAAGTTACCAATAGTGGTTATAACCTTGACAAACGGAAAATCTTCTCTTCCGGTGTATCGGCAGAATAACGATATGCTCCGACTCCTTGTATTTAGTCTGGTATTGCAATGGTCACCATTCCCGCTGCAACATAAATGCACCTACATGTGTGCAGGTAATCACGACGTTATGCGGCAACATAATTGAACATCAAAATCGTGTACGTAAACGTTATAACGTCACCAACGTAATGATTTGTAGGTTGCTCTGCATGGAGAATGTTTAAACATTTCCATAGGCTCGTATCCAGTGCTAGAAGGCGATACACCCCTGCAATTGAGCCCAACTGTAATATTATTCCCGTGACGTTGAAGCTAAGATGTTATCTCTCCACTTTCTAACATTTTTGTCGACATATTATTTTAGTAACAGTCCGAAGTATATGAAAACAATAGTTTCAATCGCAATATAATTTAAAAACATTTTAACGTTCTCTAGTATACATGTATATCGAAATTGATTACACATGTATATATGTATTCAAAACACGCAATAAATGCCATACTATACTAAGGTGCATTTTTTGCCAAGTATACAATAGAAATCATAGTTTAAATTGTTGGCGATTGACGGACTTAATTTGGCCATAACGGCTTCATTGCACTATGCCGTAAAACAAGTCATCACCCCCAAGCAAAGACCATACATGTAGAGAAAACTTTATATGCCTGATTTGCTTTGTGATATTTTTTTTTCGAGAGCATCTGTTAATAAAAATCATGTTATCCATTCCTCTATAGTATGCTGGCATCTAGGTCCCGTATATCCACGTTCTTTGGAATTTAGTAGTTCAACTTACTTATATTAATAATATAACGGTCGTCTGATATTTCATCATACAAAGAAAGAGGTATTCCGTTTAAAACGTTTTTTTCCTTCATAAGATAACATCTATCGATACAAAGAAGATAAGAAATGAGAAAAGCGGTGTAAAAAGTGCACCCAGTGCGTTCCTTTCACTTAGAGAGGATTTGTTTATGAGAGAAGGCATATGTGACGCTCACGTTACAGCATGCGTTTGGTACACGCTGTTGTCCATTTATGAATCGTCCATTTTAAACATCGTCCACTTATAGAAAATTGTCACAAGTAGCCGCTGAAAATCATGAAGACAGCTTGAAATCATGAAGACATCGCCCACGCCGTCTCATGATTAAATGATAACAGTGCATATATAAAGAGATTTTTCTCCACTGTTAGACAATTCATAATTTCCCATTCCAGCAACATGTATTCCACAACTGTGAAAATTGTCGTCTGCGTCGTGTTGGTCAGTGTGGCAAGTAAGTGATTTCAAAATAAATTTAACGTTATGGTACACTTTGTTTCGTTCAGGCCATGTAATTTTGTTAGCGATACCATTTCAGATTATTTACGTTTCAAAAGATTCTTTTATGGGATATTGTACAAGTTTCGGAAAAAATATTTAAATATATTTAATATTTTTCTCAGAAAACAAATAAACATGGTGTATGATACAGAATCTTGCATTCGGAGAACCCTGAGAACGACTTTTTCTGTGATGCTTTAAAACAAAGAACTGTAAAGAGGAATGTTGATTCTATTTTCAGTCTCCGAAGATTGTCAGGTGACTTCTGACTGTAGTCATGTGACCTGTCCGTAACGTGAGTATGTGCTTACATGTGATAATAGAATCTGTAGCTGCGTGCTAAGTTATTATTAATTCTGTTTATTTTCATGATTATACAATCAACGTTACTCTTTTTCTTCAAATTTTAAGACAATGATGATTATATTAAACTTAAATCTTAAAAATTTCTTCATATTATGAGGACATTTTGAAACTGTTAGAAAAAAAGAAAAACGCGATAATTTGCCTTCAATACTTAGCGGGTATTTTTTTTCTTTATAAAATGTAATGATATTTCTTTAAGAAGGAAAATGATCAAGATCATACTTCTTGAACACTTATATTTCCTCAAAACTTAAAGAATGCGATAATATTGCCTCGAGATTGAAGGAAAATGTATTATGGGGATTCTTTGTTTTCCAAACTTTTTCTTTAAAGATTGAGGAAAATAAAATTCTATCTCCTCAACTCTTAAGGATAGTGATTACATTCCCTCATAGCTTATATAATAATACGTCATTAATGTTTGTTTTGTCTTTCTTTCAGCCACGCAACATTCTTGTTTGTCACCGACCGACTGCCAGAACTCAGCTCCCGGAAGTAACAATTTCTGCGACCGCGACTTCCATTGTGTAGACGGTACATGCAGGTGTGGTCACGGGTTTGGGCCTGCACCAGGAGGTGGTGATCATCACCCAGGTGGCGGTCCAGGACCAGTCGGCAAATAAACCTCTAGACATAATTTGCCATGACGTCATTTATATGCTTGATATTCAATTTGAATCAATAAAAGATCAAATATAGTATTTGAAATATTTAAAAGCTTTTCTTGGTTATACTATTTTTCATGCCTGAAATCGGACATAAAAATATGTACATAAATTCTTACCACCACCCTCACAACAACAACAACAACGTGTTAATCAGGTTATTCTTCTGTCAATCTGATTGAAATCAGCTCATTAACGCTACGCGTCTGGATCTGACGAGCACAAATAGGAGGTCAACTTTTCGTGACCTTTCAAACAGTCAGTTATGAAAGCAATGCTGCTTCTAATTTTAACCGCTGGAAAACCAAAACTAATAAGGTCATTTTCACGATTTCGAGAACAAAAATGGCGTTGTCCATATAGCCGGCAGGTAAACTGGCAAAACAATCTTGCTCATTAAAATTGTGTATATTATTTCTAGTTTATTTGTATAACTTTTGTTTAAGTGAAATCAACAATTTGTTTTACTTCCACGGACAGCAGTAGTTTGATACTTCGTCTAATATCTGTAAAGTACTGTTTGATTGCATGGTTAAAATAGTTTTCTTAGGAAATTCGAAAGACAATGAAGGCGAAACAAAACACGGTGACAGAAATCAGATCTACATGCAAGAAATAACTTAAGTAGTCTTGAACTTTAGTCAGATTGGGTGTTGTCGGCAGATAAACTGACAAAACATTACAGACAACCAATGATTTTTTTCTCTATAATCAGGAACAAACTTTAATTCTGTACATTCTGATCATCACTCACAGCACACAGGGGTCAATTGGTAGTCAAACAAATTCAGAAAATTGATCACGATCTTCGTGTGACCTTGGATCCAGATTCAAAATTGAATATGACCGAGCTGTTTATTGTTAGTTATTCTGATATTGGAATTACTTAAAATTTGAATGAACTTCCAAATTTAAAACTGGGTAAATCCATTTCAAAAATTAGCCGGTAAAGGGTTGATATATGTTCAACAAAATCAACAGAAAATTGAAAAAAAAAACTATTAGTATTTAATTCGCAACTGTATGATCAGTTCTTCAAATGGTCAGATTTGTAGTCTTTTATTTATTAATGATGATGTCAAGAGTTATTTCCGCAAAACATATAAGATATTTGTTTGTAAGATGAAAATGTATTTCATCTAGTGAGTATTCTCACAAATTTCGTATGTTAGCTAGAGCTACTTGAAAAAGCACGAAGAGAAACATTCTAGTAAGTACAAATTATAAACAACATTTTATATCAAATTAATATTTTGTATTGTATGCAAATTTTTATATTGATTTCTCTTTATAACATATAATGTAACAAATATATAATATTTAACAGATTTAACATATTTTCCTTTAAAAGTATTTTTTTTATATTATTTGTACTTCAGTTCCAAAAAGAGTTCCCAAACGTGTGAAAAACGGGTTTAGTCACAATCATCCTCTTCGCAAATATCCGCCTCAAGTTTCGCCCCAATAGCTGCTCCGGCTGCTCCCACGGCTACCTGACCGGTTAGCCCAATCCCAGCCGCTCCGGCTGATTGAGCTAACGCCATTGCAGATCCTGCCGCAACGCTTCCACCATAAGAGGCCATCATAGAAGCCGCAGTACTTCCAGCAGCTATACCCCCGGCACCAAAGCCGGCAGCCCCTAACGCAATTGGTGCAATTATCGGGCCAGCCACAAAACCCAAGGCTCCGAGACCTACTGTAAGTAGCCAACCTGTAAAAGAAACACCCATACATTAAAAAAAATTCTTATGGTACAAAAATGGCATATTTTTTCGTGTTACTGTTGTAGCAAATTTACTCTAAAAGATGAAGCAAATGAAAGAGACTAATGGGGCATGTTTAAACCCTTACCTTGGTAGAAATGAAAGTGATTAGCCTTTGCCATATGAGCTAACACATCTGTGCAGTCTGACCAGGCTCTATGATGTTTTGTTATTTCAGTTCGATTGTTAAGGAAGCTATAAGCTTACAGACAGACTTTCATTATCACTCCTGGAACCTTTCCAGGACCTTTACAATAAGCAATGAGTAAAGTTTCTTGGTCACGTAAATAACGGTATGCCGCCGACAGGGTGTCAACCCACACAAATACACTCTATTTTTTAATCTCCTAAAATGGAAGTTAGTAAATTCCATTTAAGAAGTTCGGCAGGGCAAGAGAAGTAAAGATGTCAATGCTTTCATGCAAAACATGTCTATTCAAAAGTTAATCTTATTTAAAAATAAGTTTTTCCAATACTCTAAAATGAATATGACATTCATTTCCGTGGCCGAAGGTTTAAGGTATTTGACTTCAAACCACTGGCTCTCACTACTGTGGGTTCGTATCCCGCAAAGAAGCTATCCAGCTAGCTTACGGAACGTCGATGGTTCTTCACATGTTCCCAAATAATATTCGGACTTGTACCTGAGGTATTGGTCCACCAGTTAGGCTGGAAAGTCGTTAAATGACATCTAAAGTGTCGGTGTGACATAACAAAGAAGAAAAAGAAATAACTATGTTTGAGAAATTATCACTACCTTGGGCTGGCTGGGCAATCATTGAAGCAACCAAGATGTAGATTATTATCTTGTTAGCCATTTCTACGTAGAACATGAAAATAGAACAAGATGCTAGAATACATAACTCTTATTGTCACATCAGATAAATTCTTGCTAAAAGGAAAGCCAAAGCACGTCCCAAATTTTTTGTTGACACCATAAAAAATCCATACACAGTGACTGGATATACGGAGAATAAAACCATGCTCTTTTTGCGCTACTTTGCGTAATAGCACGGGGTCGGGGGGGGGGGGGGGGGGTTGAGCTGACTAGTTCATTTTCACTTTATGTACATGCTTTATTATGATTTTTTAAACGAAACTGACTCTATGTATCATCGTGTTTATGAGTCATAATTTTGTATTATAATTTTGTTTCTTCAGCAGCTGTTATATTTACTTATTTCTAAATATCCTTAGTCTTTGTCATTGTCAGAATAATCATGAAGTTTATATGTAGATATGTATATTACAACGAGTTAATATTTCCCTACAGTGATATATTGTTGTAGATGAAACAACGAGTTAATATTTCTTTACAGTGATACATTTTTGTATACATTGCTTGCAATGTGAACAGAGTTATACTGAGTTTTCCAACTGAGAATATTTCAATTTTATGTCAGGCGGTGCTGCCCAGCCAAATTGGTTCTAGTATTTATTACTAAATCTTTCCTTAGATTAAATAACATCAAGGCAGACATTTTTCCTGCCAATTTGGGAGCTCGTCCGGGATATTCTCTTTAAGTTGGAATTTTTCCTGGCATAAAAAATTGTGTTAAACTTTGATAATTTTTTTTTTGTTAAACCTTAAATCATTTGTGATCTGTTGGTAAAATACTGCAGTGTAAAAACTGTTAGGCGAAAATCGATAAACCTGCAGGTAGTTTTATATACAAGTAAACCCTCTGTACAATAGAGTTTAAATAGAGAGTTATATGTAGAGAAGCGGTGACGGCCTGTGTTTAAAGTTGTATACTGAAGAATTTATTGCATTTTAACAGGAGAGCACCCTTTGTTGAATACTGTTTATACGGTGATAGAATTAAGTGGTTTTGGGGAGACATTTGTTTTGATAGTTTGAATCATTGTGTTAATAAGTTTATATCAAATGATAAAGATATAACTTATAATTTGTTGAAGTTATAAACATCAGTAATTGATAAAAGTTTATAACCGGTGTCCAGTGGGTTATTATCCATAAAAGCATATGTAATAATTGAATAGATAGTTTTTGCCGTCGGTGCTCAGCGTTATTTACGAGTTTATTTTAATCAGATTGAAATCTTCTCATAATTAAAAAATGATTTCAAAGTCAGCCATAATTAAATACTTTAAACTTTAAAATTGAAGTTCTACAATCAAATCATCCAATCAGGATTCACAACAACACTGTAAAGATGATATTTAAAAACTTTCCAGCTTCACTGCAATCGGAACACACCGACGATTATTCATAATAGTCTCGGACTTAATCATTAATTCGAATTGAAACGGCCCGAATTGAAAGTAGTTCTACCACGACTTATCCGAAGATTGACGGAAATGGCCGGAATCACTGCTTGAGGAAAAACTAAGAATTTCACTGAAATGTCCCTTGGTTTAAGAGAAACATATTCCAATAACATAATAAACGTATTCTTCAATCTATACCAAAAACAATAACAAAAATACAACCATAATTTAAAACTTAAATAAATAGATATTTTAAACATTTCTCTCGTATACGGATTGACACATTCCCACTGACCATCTGAGGCAACCTTGTTAGATGACACTTTCCATCATCACCATGTTTTACTGGGTGCTAAATTGACTTAAAGCCAAAACAGTTTCGAATCTCAATTAAAACTAATTTTCCATCATATTTACATACACGCAGTTTACAATTTACCTGTTATGACCATGCTTAGTCCACTTTACAACAAAAACTTCATCAATGCTGTATAGTTTGTTTGTTTGTTTTTTGGGTTTTCCGTCACATCGACACAGTATAGGTCATATCGCGACGTTCCAGCTTTACTGGTGGTGGAAGACCTCAGGTGCCCTTTCGTGCATTATTTCAGGCACGAACGGGTACCTGAGTTCAATGTTGTATAGTCTTACTGAAATTACGTCTACACCCCAACACTTAAACAATGTTTCCGCCCTGGCTCCGACTCAGTGGCCTTTATAATTTATGGTACACATACGCAAATACAATCATATGCTCACTTTATTCTTTGTGACACTATAAATCGGAATACCGTTGCCCTTTACGAAAAATATCTTTTACAGTAAGGGAAGCAATTCATTCACTACTGGCAGTAATTTTAAAGTTATCTCTATTATAATAATTCGAACAATTTTAGTGTTTGAACGAGACTAAATCTCGTTGTTTCCACAATCAAAGTTTGATGGTGTTTAACTTAAAAATAATCATCAGTATTTTTCAAAACGATTATTTACCGGTATATCATGAAAAATTCTGAAAAGCGTTGTATTCTTAGAGGTAAAATGTTAAAAAAACCAGCATAACATTTCCTTAAAATACATTCCCGTATTAGATGTACATACCAGCTCTTTTAACTCGAGATCAAATCTATTTCAATTTAGAAATGTGCTAAAACGTTACACATGCAGGTATGTTTGGGAGTAAGAGATGTGTTGATCATAAATTTTCACGTAAATATTATATCAAACCTTGGGTGTAATTTAACATTTTTTTTGGCTACCAGTTATTTCAGGAACAATCTCACACACAGTGCACATTACTAACTCAATATTTCTCACACAGTGGACATTTCACACTGAATACTTCTCACACATTGAACATAACACACTTAATACTTCTCACACAGTGAACATTTTCCACTAAAAACTTCTCACACAGTGAACATTTCACACTAAATACCTCTCACACAGTGAACATCCTCTCACACAGTGAACATTACACACTGAATACCACTCACACAGTGAACATTACACACTTAATACTTCTCACACAGTGAACATTACACACTGAATACTTCTGACAAAGTGAACATTACACACTGAATAATTCTCATTTAGTGAACATTACTTACTCATTATTTCTCACACAGTGAACATTTCACACTGAATACCTCTCACACAGTGAACATTTCACACTCATAATTCTCACACAGTGGACATTTCATACCGAATACTTCTCACACATGGAACATTACACACTTAATACCTCTCACACAGTGAACATTACACACTGAATACTTCCCACTAAGTAAGCATTACATACTCATTATTACTCACACAGTGAACATTTCACTCTGAATATTTCTCACACAGTGAACATTACACACTGAATACTTCTCAAAAGTGAACATTGCGCACTGAATACCTCTCACAAAGTGAACATTGCACACTGAATACTTCTTACACAGTGAACATTACTCACTGAATACTTCTCACTCAGTGAACATTACACACTGAATACTTCTCACACAGTGAACATTACACATTAAATATTTCTCACACAGTGGACATTTCATACCGAATACTTCTCACACATGGAACATTTCACACTAAATACCTCTCACACAGTGAACATTACACACTGAATTCTTCCGACTAAGTGAACATTACATACTCATTATTACTTACACAGTGAACATTTCACTCTGAATACTTCTCGCACAGTGAACATTACACACTGAATATTTCTCACAAAGTTAAAATTGCGCACTGAATACCTCTCACAAAGTGAACATTGCAAATTGAATACTTCTCACTCAGTGAACATTACACACGGAAAACTTCTCACACAGTGGACATAACACATTGAATACTTCTCACACAGTGAACATTACATTCTAAATACTTCTCACAAAGTGAATATTACACACTGAATACTTCTCACACACTAAACATTACAAACTGTATACTTCTCACACAGTGAACATTACAAACTAAATACTTCTCACACAGTGAACATTATACACTGAATACTTCTCACACAGTGAACATTACACACTGAATACTTCTCACACAATGAACATTACACACGGAATACTTCTCACACAGTGAACATTTTAAACTGAATATTTCTCACACAGTGAACATTATATACTTACTACTTCTAACACAGTGAACTTAACATACTGAATTTTTTTCACACAGTGAACATTACATACTGAATACTTCTCACAAAGTTAACATTACATTCTGAATACTTCTCACACAGTGAACATTACATTCTGAATACTTCTCATACATTGAATATTAAACAGTAATAAACACTGAATACTTCTCACACAGTGAACATTTCAAACTGAATATTTCTCACATAGTGAAATTTACACACTGAATACTTACTACTAAGTGAACATTACTTACTCAAAATTTCTCACACAGTGAACATTACACACTGAATACTTCTCACACAGTGAACATTAATTACTTAATATTTATCACAAAGTGAACATTACACACTGAATACTTCTCACTTAGTGAACATTACTTACTCATTATTTCTCACACAGTGAACATTTCACACTGAATACCTCTCACACAGTGAACATTACACACTCAATACTTCTCACACATCGAACATTACACACTAAATACCTCTCACACATTGAACATTAAACACTGAATACCTCTCACAAAGTGAACATAGCACACTGAATACTTATTAAACAGTGAACATTACATTCTAAATACTTCTCACACAGTGAACATAACACACTGAATACCCCTCACACAGTGAACATTTCAAACTGAATATTTCTCACAAAGTGAACATTGCACACTGAATACTTCTCACACAGTGAACATTACACACTTAATACTTCTTACACATTGAACATTACAGTGTATTATGTTAACTGTGTGAGAAGTATTCAGTTTGTAATGTTCACTGTGTGAGAAGTATAAAGTATGTAATGGTCACTTTGTGAGCTCACACAGTGAACATAACAAACTGAATATTTCTCACACAATAAACATAACAAACTGAATACTTCTCACACAGTGAACTTAACATACTGAATACTTTTCACACAGTAAACATTACATACTGAAAACTTCTCACTCAGTGAACATAACATACTGAATTCTTCTCACACAGTGAACATTGCATACTGAATTCTTC